TTAAGGCAATTTATTTCATACAATCATTTTGGAAGTATTTTTACTAAAAAAATTAAACAGTTATGTTTAAGCAGATATATAGCTTTATGTACTTTAACTTCTTAGTTATTTCAAAAACTACACTAGGCTTGAAAAGATTCAAAGAAGGTACATGATGTAATCATCTGACGAATTGTAATATGAAAATAGACATATTTGTACTGTTTCTATGTACAGTTATAAGAAAAACATTTTAATTCTGTTACCTCGACATTTCTATAAGAACATAAAAAAACGGCGACTCCTTTACAATAATCGAACATAATTGCATGAAAAATCTGATAAAATGATATTCAAACAAGATCAGTATATGTTTAATATTTTAAAGACTTTTAAAACCTCATTCACGCAGGAATATAGATAGATTGTACATGTAATATTTTTAAATGGCCTTTTATTCCAGTTGAATATGATTGCAATTAAAAAAAATAATCTTAAACATCAGTAACTAAATTTAAATTTTTCAGTATCTGGAATTGAGATTTGATTCACATGCTGTACGGATCCTAGGGACGATCCTCGGAATGTTGAGTTATGTAAGATATTCTACTTTAATAATTTCTATTTATTGTAAAATATGAAAAGAAATTATTTCAATAATAATGATAGCAGACTCACGTATAAAGTGGACCAAGAGCACACGGGAAAATAATTATAATAGCATAATTAAAAAAGTGAAAAATGCAAAAAACATCTACACAACAAAACGCATATTCCTTACGATGAATCCAATAGAGGCTTTTCAATTTTTGTCCGTTCAAAATTCACGTAGATTCGCCTGTCATTTGACGCATGCCCTCGTTTCTTTAATACCCTATTATACGAGTACTAGTTTATTACTGCATAACTATAAACCTTTTAAAGGTTTCAATTATCCCATGCTTCAATGAATATCAAAACAGAAATAGCATACCAGCCTGATAATGGCAACACTATTGAAAAGACCTAAGCTTTTTTATTACCAATGTTCTTATGAAAATATCATTTTTTAAAGTTAACTTAAATGTATTATTAATTTCATATTTTCTTTTGATTTCTATCAAATTTTGACCTAAAGTTACAAGGTGAAAGTGTAAAACAGTTCTTTTTTTGTAATTCAAGTTTTAAATTTTAATCTTCATCATCTTCAGACAGCCTATATGGGTATTGTGTTATTTGGACCAGCTATTGCTTTAGAGGCAGGTAAATCGTCTTCATTCTGGTGACACGTTATATTCCTGTAATCTCTTTTATAAACTATATTATTTTATGTACTGTTTCATGCTTGTTTCCAAAAACAAGCTTCCGAACTACATGTAGTACAAAATGTAATGAATCCTGTACTAATCGTTGATATTCATCGCAGGATGTTAATCAGGTTTTCCTATTTAAGACAACCGTTTTCTTAAAGACATTGATTCATTGAATGATTGAATTACGAGTCTTTACAATACCATTTAAAATCTTGGTGATGGTCGTTGACTGATGTTATGTGGAACATGTCTTTTTACCACATTTCTGTAATGTTTCCGATACATTTCCGATATATTTCAGTAACTGGGTTTCCTCAGTGGGGATCGATTGTGTCAGTGGCAATCGCTTCAGTTATATATACGTCTATTGTAAGTATATGTGTAACAGATTGTTCAGTTTAATGTTAAAGTCAGTGCAGCACGAAGTTCTTCATTGTTGTTTTGTATACAGAATGTTAATGTTGCTTCAAAATGCATATTAACGGATAAAGAGTGATATAGTTAGTACATTTGGTAAAAAAAATGTATTTACACGATTTAAAGATATCTGCATTTGAAAGCTTGATTGGCTTATTTTACGGCAAACAGTTGCTTAATGACTTTTCATACACATTATGACTTACAAGCTGTGATTTTTGAGAAGAGAATACTGATACCTTGTGTCTGATACAAAGGAAATCATGCCTAGTTGCAGTTTGTTCCAAAGAAAATAAAAGTATTTTAGCAGAGAAGCGAACTTCAATTTCCAAAGCTAATGGCTCTGAATTCCACTATGCTAAGCAAGTACTATCATGGTACCGTACATAAATATGTTTATTCAGGCACAGTAGCTTTTTGTAAAAAGACATATTCGTAGTATAATATTATTTTCACTATTTATACTTAAACAGGGAGGATTAAAAGCCGTTATCTGGACGGATGTTTTTCAGTGTGCGGTAATGTTTGCCGGAGTTTTTGCTGTGCTTATTAAGGTAATGATTCTGCTTTATATTAGTTGAAATGTACTTGGCATGATCTTATAGATACAACTTTGTTTTGGAGCAATAATTAAGTATGCATGAGCACGAACATTTCCAGTACAAAATGGATTATGCAAGGCAATTTTAATATATGTAATGTCGATAAATTCAGTATAGAAGTGTACATGTCCATTTAATTAAATACACTAGTACTTAAACACATTTGAAACATATTCATGTTTTGCGTGCTTGAATTCAGTAAGTTTGCGTATGGGACGTTTACTGAAAATTATTGATTGAATATTTAGCATATATTAATAAGATGTAACGCCAAAAAACACGTTCATATATGTTTCATAGGTTCTCTTTATAATAGCAGTTTTATGTATATGTATGTGTAAAGTGAACTCGATGTTGGGCAAAATAGATTAAAAAAATAAATGAAAGAATATTTTCAGGGAACAATGCAAAATGGTGGTATAAGCAGAACATGGGAGATTGCGTACGAAAAGGGTCGCGTCAATTTATTTAAGTAAGATAAAGTTGGTGTTAACTCTTTTTAGAATGATAAGAATCTGTACTACATCTCTCAAAATACCAAGATTCTTTGATGTTTTCTTTCTTTTACTTTTGGCGAATTCAAGATTTCTTGTGGTTTAAGAAACATATTTGTCATTTTTCGTTTTTTAAAGGAATCGTTAACTCCCCTTTATTTCACATCTTGTCATTAAATTTTAAATTATTCCACAGCAAGTGGTTAAGCATTAACACTCGTGAGAACTTTATTGTGTCACTTAATTTTAAAAAACTGTGATGACATATATTTGTGCCAGCTTAACATCATTTTAGAATCTGCCAAAAGCATGAACCACTCATATACTATTCACAACTCTTTTGTCAAAGTCTTGTTTAGAAATAGAGATGACATATTTCAAAATTTATTTCCAGTTTCGACCCTGATCCAACTGTGAGACACACTTTCTGGAACTTGTTTGTTGGCAGTATCATGCGAGGTTTTGGTCTTGTCTTCAACCAGGCTTCTATACAGAGGATCAGCTCTACGCCAACAGTCGGAGCAGCTAGAAAGTAAAAATACCAGATGAAATTACCATTTATATTATTCATGATACTTTCAGGCCTTTTTGAAGACATTTTGGAAAAATGTTCCTAAGCCAGTTTTGGGAAAGTTTGCGTCATAGAAGTGTTTAATTGGAAAAAATATTTGTACCTTTTGAAGCCTCCTGCATGTACTTTTGGCAAAGTATATTAGTTGTGCAAAATTGTTTATTCCATCCAATGCAAATATCAGGCAAAACATACAAAATACATTAAAATTTGACAAGGAAATGTGTGGAAACATCTGTCTAATATCATAATGGAATGAACCCTAGTAAATTTGTCAGTTTTGATATCGGGAATTTCAGTTCGCTTGGGATTTGTCTTTAAAAATAGGGAAAAAATGCTAATTGGAATGGGTCTGATAGTCTGACCCATGAAGACACTGTGAAAAGGCATGGCTTCAAGATTATTTATAAGAGATAAAAACTGTCGGTTGATTATTTTTCTGTTAATTTTTAGATTTTCAATCTTCATTTGTTTGCCTGTACTTAAATGAATGCTATATTATAAATGTGACACAGCAATTGTTTTTGATTCATATACAAGATATACTTTACAGGGTACTAATGCTTGTAGCTCCGGGTTTCTTTATAACCTTGACATTGGCTGGTATTGAAGGTATTGTTGCATACGCGTACTATGATACGCTAGGATGTGATCCCCTCAAGTCGAAGCAAATAAAAAACCCAAATCAGGTAAATTACCATTTAATATATTCACGCGGGTGGTGTCAATTATATTACTTCAGGCGATACCAGTTATATTATTGGACGCGATGAAAATTACATTATTTCAAGCGGCTTGAATTACATTATATTACGAGATGCCAATATCAAACTAAGTAGATAAGATTCATTAAGATATATGGATGATTCAGCACAAGAAATAAAATGAAAACAAATACTGAGCTTGAATGTGGAAAGGTGGGTGGTGGGATTGAGAGGACTTTTAACAGTAGTCCTATAATATTTTAATTGTCTAGCTATCAACGAATACATGTTGGAGTATGTCCCTTACCCATTTGAGCCGACTCCTTTAATTTCAATCAAGACTAGTATCAAATGAGTAAAGTAAGAGTTCAATTACTTCAGCCCTTTCAAACCAAGTGCAATCGTTGTTTTGCTCATACATCTTTGTAAAGACGTTTGTATTTCAGTATCAATCAAACCGAGCCTGCAACATTTTCTTTTTTGTTGTTTTGTACTTTATTTCGGGATTCTTTTTTTCACTATCTAATGATAACCTTTCTTTGTTATACCATTACAATCTATACACATCATTATGGGTGCATAAACAGGTGGGATGTATAAAATTGGTGGTAGATTGATCTACGCTCCATACACTTTTGCCTTTTTAAAACCAATGTCTTGTTCAAAATTTTAAAAAATGATTTGAATTTTTTGTTGTATCGTCAGTGATGTTTTTGCTATATCTTGCGTTCATCAGCTGTGTTTTCAATATTGATATAGATAATTCCTTATATGGTGATGGACATATTTAGAAACCTTCCTGGTATGCCGGGACTGTTCATGGCTTCCCTCTTTAGTGCATCTCTCAGGTAAATATCTTATCTAAACAGTCTATAGGTTATACAACTATTTGACGTGTTTATATATTCTAACGATCTAATAAGAACTACATAATAACATAAATAATAATGGACATACTTTAATTTTGTCTAAGATTTAATTTCGCAGTATAATATAAATAGTCATTGCAATACATTAGTAAGGTTTTTATCTTTTAAATTAACTTTGAATGGATTCAAAAGGCAATCCGCTACGAAGTAATAGTTTCTTTTAAACTTCAAGGAACATCGTCTCGTTTGCAACAATAATACAGTAATATAAAATGTTTATATTTGAATGTTGACTTCGTCCGATGCTCGAAGCACGTCACACTTTGTTTTCCTCGAGTGTGCCAGTTTCAAGTTACCATTATGTACTCAGAAAGTATATTACATGTATTATATGATATACATTAAGTAAATGCTACCTAAGGCATATAATTGCATATTAGTTTTAAATGAATTGAAAATTGTATTTTACAGCACGTTATCATCTGGACTAAGTGGTTTATCAGCCCTATTCTGGACAGATCTGATCAAACCACACGTGAAACCCATGTCTGAATTCAGAGCAACACTGATCTCCAAATTATCTGGTACTATACATCATAATTATCATTTTAATCATTTCAACAAGTCTATTATATAGTAAAACATGTTAACTTAAAAGACACATTATGCCTCAGAAATGAATTATAACTTTTTCCTTCCTTAGAAAGAACAAAAACGTGCTTTAAAATGTTGTAATACTTGATTGCGAACATCTAAGATCCTTATTACTTGAAGAAAATAGTACTGAATGTGAAAGAATTCGTCATTAGGGTAGCAAAATGTAAATTTGATGTTGACAGCATAATAATCACTATGATTATCATTGCTATTATTTAGTTTTGCAATTCGTGCTCCAAACAAATATGCTCCAACATACTCGATTTTGAGTCTTTGTGTTATCAGCGCCATATGATCACATCAACAGTAGCTTGCACTTCAACTACCATCCATGACAATCTTCAATCAAACCGATCCTTATTAATTATGAATTTTACATATCGTCGCCCTAATTCCACAATGATGTAAGTCGTATTTTACCATTTTGAGAAAATCGACTTCAAAGTTTTAACAGGCTATATCTTCACACTTACTCAACACATTTTAATATAAAATATATCATAGTATGCAGAATTATTTTAACTGTTACACTTTTAATTACGAAGAAGTTCCTGTAGATAGTTTTTTTAAAAATCAAAATAAAAAAAATGAAAAATCACTGAAAAATAAATTTTATTGACAAAATACAAGAACCAGAATGCTGTATTCAGTTACAGCAATGTGACCCTAAAATATCATTACATTTAGGAGTTACAACAGTGTGAAATAACGACTTTTGAACTGTTTTATACTGAAATTATATTAAATTTAGAGGTAACTAGAAATTGAATTCTTTAACGAATAGTCTGAATCCACATTTATTCAGGCACCACAGAGCATGGAATGTGATCAGGATCAAAACAGTAAATTTAGTCTTAAAAGTCAATATTAGAAATCCAAACAATGCGGTGAAGTGTGAATAGCCACGAACAGGCATTTTAAGGTTGAAATAGATCTCGGGCTTCATTATCTTATCACCATTTACATGAAATAGTGAGCCTTGCAAATGAACAAAAAAAATAAGATGTTACTGATTTTGTAAATGTATCACATTGAAGTAAACAAAACGAAAACAAAATTTAGAAACATCGTCCTTGTATTGATATTTACCACATAAAATAGCAAACTTTTTATCATATGATATGCTATTTTTACAATAAGACTGTACAATATAAAATATTTGGAATTCAGATTTACTTTTGGTTTCGTTTATTATATCATTAATTCATTCCAAATTCAATTCTGAATACCTGTAGCTTGCAGACAAACAGCATGTTGAACATAATTTGACTTACAAAACACACAAAAATGTTTGAAAGATGTAACTGCTTAAGCTTTGAAAAACAACATCAACAATGAGTTCCTTTCTCTGTAACATAAAAAGAATAAACCTATGTATTTTACTTTTCTAAGAACAGCATTACTTGATGTTTTGTTTTAAAAAAAAATGAAAAATATGAAACACAACTCAAAGCTCACAAATGTTCAAAGATGCTACAGATCTGGATACGGTGTTTCAATGAACTACTGTACTTCAATTACTACATGTATTTATATATAAAGTGGCATACAACTTCTTTACATACAATAACAATTAAGTATACGTTTGCTTTTAATGTTTTTATCTGAACTGTTAACATCAATAACTCATTCGTATAAAAACAATGCTCAATATCTAAGAGTTTCAGACAAATATTAATTCTATTTTACCTCAACAAACGTTTGATGAAACAAATATGACAATATAAAAAAATTAAAGAGTTCTTAATGTTTTATATTATGGTCTTAAGACTTTGTAACATTTCTTCACAAAATCATTCTTTTTTACGTTTCAATCGAATGAAAATTTTTAACCACACATTTTTTTCTTTTTAAAAAATAGTTTTTGTAATGGATAATTTTCAGTTCAATGGTTCAAATCACTTGATAATTACAGGTAGTATTACCTTACGAGTTGGAAGTAGATGTACAAGAATTATTTTCAACTTAGATTAATTTTGCTTTGCATGTTCCAATTACATAATAAATTTCAGCATAAGATTGAACATGATTATGTTGACAAAAAGGTATAGACTGACACCCTGTTGATTTATGCAAAATAGCTGAGGAGGTGGCATTTTGTTTAATAAGTATTTGTTGTGCAAATGACGTCTCTTATTCAACGCTAAATGGTGCATCTGAGACACCTCTCAGCTTTTAAACTTTTGTTATAGGGATATTGTCAACTTTAACCCACCATATAGCCTTTGACGTTTGGATGTACTGTTTTAGGAACACAAACGAGTGACGTAGGACTGAACATTTTAAAAGTGTTTTGTCTTTCTTTCTATATGATAGTGGGTATTGTTAACCAGTCTAGATTTCATAATGCCTTGGACAGCAAAACTTTTCATATTTTTGTGATCGTTATATGAAAGTGCATTATTTTGAAATTATGAAAATAATGGAATTATGAGTTATGAAATAATCATGAAGTAAACACCACCTAATTTAACATCAGTTATGAGTTGTTAAGTTATATGTGTAAATTTTATTCGAATCACTTAGCACCAGTACGGTAATTTGTCTTATATAGTTAAAGACAAAATGTAACAATGGCAGTAGTATGTTTCCCATTTGATAAGTTTTGTTTGTAAGTTAAAAGTATAAACAATCTAATGCAAAACCTAATTGTACGTATTTAATCTGAATATGTACAAGTTATAGCATTGATCAATCAATCATATAATCATTCACATATCAAGTTATGAACAGCTGATACTTGTGAATATTGAAAGTTTGTATCATTTTATCCGATTTCCATGCTATCCGAATTTCATAACACAGCATGGTGCTTTGAATTTAGCTAAAGTGTTAAGAGTAGTTATTATTTATTTTTAAGGTTTGAAACAGTTCATTAAAATATTAAGCTATAGATAATTAGATAACATCTAAAGCAAAACACTTACATGTTATCAAGAAATATAAAACGTAAAATGTCATTCCCGATACCTTGAAAAATCTGCCATTTTGTCAATACAGCATCACATGACTAGAATCTTAACAAACTATTGGTTCAGAAGTTACGATATTATGGACTTTATTTTTATCACAATTTTTGGACTTACAGCACTCTGACCCATTCAATATATTGTTACAGGCATGAACCAGAGTAATGTTGTTCTTACCATTAGATAGAGCAAAAAATTACGAACATTTTGATACCAAACACTCATTTTTTTCAAAATTGGAGTTACGACACTCTGGAATTAGGGCGACGATATCTTTAGGGATTCATTTTCTTTCTATTTGGGTATTAATTTTAAACATTAATTGTAATTATATACTAATATTTTTCCTTCTGTATCAGTATTTTTATTTTCCAGTGTTTGTATTTGGTGGATTGGCAGTATTTGTAGCATTTATGATCGCGTTAGTTGGGGGTACCTTAGTTCAGGTATATTTATGTGTTATATTTCATCAGTCTATTGTTATCCTCATCCCTACTACTGAATTTAACATTTATTAGATAATAGAATAAAATCAGATTCGCATTTAAGTTGATAATTTCAGACAAGTAATTGCTTGTAACATTTTACAGATCACTGGAAGTATTCTGTCGGCATTTGGTGCACCTCTCAGCGGCTTATTTATGTTTGGAGCGTTCTGTCCATGGGGTAATGCTAAGGTAACTCAATGTATAAACTATTTATATGAAATGTTACTAACTTCATACACTTTCATCAAATCAGGAAGATTCTTGGAAAAAAAAGAATGCAGTTTTTTTTTATCTAAATGCTGTAACAAGCTTTTAGGAAATTGAGTTGTATTTTATCTATATGACAATTCAATTTAAATACTTTGGACTCGTATGGTACGAGAAACACGTATTTTTGTTACAGGGAGGTTTCTGGGGAACAATTCTATCTGCCATTGTTACATTCACCTTTGCACTCGGACAAATGACAACAAAAGGTTCTGTGAAGAATACAAGACTGCCCTCGGCACCAGTTGACTCATGTCCAGCTGTTGAAGTCTTCAGTTTATTGGCAAATATGACGCTCACTAATATGACGTCTGATTCATACTTCACGAATATGACGTCATCGATGTCAAATCTGACTAGTTCAATCGGCGGAATAGAGATAAATCCATACGACTATCCAGAACCGTATGTACATTTGTGTTCTCGATCAGAGCAAACACATCTCGCTAACATTTGTTTCTTTATCGAGTGTATTTGCTCCTAAGTTTCACAATAATGTTTTTAAAAATGACTTTATTATTTGCCAATCGACCTTAAAAGTGTATAAATCTATATCAACTGCCAAAATTATGATCTTAATTTTGAAAACAAAAAAAACAAAAATATAAAAAAAACTTCCAATATATCCGTATGAAGGAAATTTCTTTGCTAGTGTACTTAAGAGTGCATGTTGCAGTCACAAAGTCATTGCTAAACGGTTAAAATCCTTTTCTGTTTGAAATATCAAAACAATATTTTGTTCCGGAACATTTTATTTAGTTTACGAAGAAACTTCATGTGTGTTACATAACAGGGACATTCAACAAATCATTTAGATAATCAATCATAAGGTTACAGAAACAATATAGTATTACTGTATAACAATTTAATAAACATCATTTCATCAGATATACCTACTTTTTGTCTTACGAAATGCAAATACTCCAATTACTTACATATACTCGTAGATTCGAGTTTTACTAACGCCATACTACCACACAGAAGTACTTTAAAAGACATAGCGTTTTGCAAGCTGTCATATACAATAAAATGTTAATTTTGGTCAGCGCACCAACACATTTTAGATCAAATGGCGCCGAAACAAGAAAAATGATTTTGGCCTCCGGTGTTACAATCTTTAAGCAACACTAGGGGTCAAAACCATCTCACCTGCTTAGCTAAGAGATGCATAGATTTCAATAATTCGAACCCATTAAATCGCCTTTTACGATCACACAGGGTTAAGCGGTGGCTTCAATACGGATGCCCCAACTCGAAAAGGCAACCTCTCATCCACTATAATCTTTATATATCATTATCTGTTACTACTTTATTTTTATATGCTTATAGAAAACAAAAAAAAAAACATACCCTCCTCGTACTAAATATGAAGCAACACTTTTATATGAAACTGAAACAGGCTATAAATAGGTGATAAATCATTATTTATATCTAACAAAATACTTAATATGTTCAACACACCTGTTTCTAGCAGTGCTCAAACAGTAACAATATTTTTTACATGCTTTTCGGTGGTTTATAGAAATATATCAGTGAAATAAAACTGGTAATTTCACTGTTTGAAACAGTGAAATTACCACATTGGTAATTTCACTGTTTTGAATTTAAGCCCCTAACGTTGTTTCAGTGAAATACCAGCGTGCACAGTACTGGGTACCAACTGAATGACGTGACGTCGTAAATGACGTCACGTTGTATTATTATTTGGCGCGCTTTTCATTCAGTATTAAGTTTAATGTCTTTTTAAAACGTTTCTTTGCATATAATAAAAAGAAAATTTGTTTAGTTTAGTGTAAGATCGAAATATATTTCACCTTGTGAACACCAAAAGTTCATATTTCACTCGAAATATACCTTTTGGTGCTCACTCGGTGAAATATATTCCGATCTTACACTGAACTAAACAAATATCCTCTATGTCATTTTTTATGCAAGTGTCAAATTATCAATATATTTTACACCTTAATTTTCAGTACAGGAATTCGGCGAATGTTTATGTTGTCGTACAAATGGTTTGGACCTTTTGGTGTGGTACAGACCATCATATATGGATCTATCATTTCACTGTGTACAGGTATGTTTCTTAGTTTCAAGACTGTGAGAATTACAAATTGTAAGTTGTTTTCATATGGAAGGCATTATACTTCTTTCTTTCATCATCGTCGGATAATTTGTCGATTTTTATATTTCAAACAAGGTACCAAACAGGCACTATCAATATTGTGTTCACCTTTCAATAAACAGAAGATTGCCAGGCTTGTCCTGCATTGCTACACACATATTCGTTGAAGAAGAGCATATCGTTAATGATTTCACGTTAATCACATACTGTATACTTTCTATGATTTCGTTACGTTCTGGAAAAAAAACATGAAACAAATTTGAAATTGATGCATCTTTCTACGAAAAGAGATTGTTCTATTTTGTAACAAAATATAAATTCTTACACATTTTGTCAAAAACATTCAATATTAAGTTTCATGGATAAGGAATAAGTATACATTTCATTAACTATTACGAGTCCTTTAAAAGAAACTCCACTGTGGTCCAAAAGCTTGAACAATTAATTTAAAAGATATTATAACAAATATGTAACTTTGTTCTGAATAACCGAAGTGAGCGAATGATCTGAAATTTCGTATTTAGTTTATGATTTAGAACTACATCAAATGACAAATAAATAGCGATAAGATAAACACTTTTTTCTGTCCCATCATGCAAAATATCAGTCGTGTTTCTTTAAGTTTAATGGTTATTTTGAAAATTTGTCAACTAATTTTTGCTTACTGCTTCGTAAAAAGTATCTTTTTAATTGCCATTTCAGGGTACAAGAAACCGGGTGAGATCAAACGCAAGTATGTTATTCCATTTGCTGACAGTTTATTCCCGTTCTTACCAGAATACATCCGAAAACCTATGAGGTGTGGTTATCACTTTGAGGAAGAGGTATTTTAAATAATTATAATATTTAGTAATTGAATAATTATGATGGAAACAGGTAGTTTGTAAAATCATCCAGAATGACATTAAATACATTTCCTCATGGAAATGTTTCGTTTGTCAAGTGATTTTAACCCTTAAGATTGTAATAAGTAGATTTAATGAATATTTTAGAAGTAATAGAACAACAATGAATATGTATATGTGTTAACAAATAACTTTGTTCTAAGCAAACAAAGTACAATCAAGTAATTTGTAAAGATGGAAAAGGATATCACATCTTTGAAGTTTCACTCAAATCAATAAGTTTGGATCTTGACCTTTACCCTGTCGGAACTTAAAGTGATCCGCCTTTGTCACCAGTAGAGAGCACGGCCAGCTTTCAAGTCCGTGTAGTCTGATCAGAAAGGAAACTGTAATCAGATCAACTTAAAATTTTCATTTTGATATTCCCATATATTAATTATGGACAGATGCAAATGGAAGATGGACTAATCCATTGATTTAAAGCAATTCAGCAGTCAAACATTGAACCCTTTTAACTGTTCTGTATGCACAGTAAACTTTTGCAATGAAGTATAATATATTATATCCTTTTAAAGGACGATGACAAGGTTCCCCAGGTCGTTTACGATAAGATTGGTGATAAAGATGTTAATATATACAATGTCGATTTGATTGTTGGAAACAACACAGGTGTGGTCGACAAGCAACCCAATAGTGATAACCATATCGCTCATCAGAATGGGGGAGTTGATCTCGTACATCGGCTAAAAGATGAGTCCTCGTCACCAAATACAACAGACGGAACGGTAATTCATTCGGTTGAGGTATTATCTCCGCGAACAATACCTGTCAAAGATATGGAACTGAGTATTATGAAGGGTGGAGTAAGTTCCGAGTATGTTGTCATGGACAATATGGATGACGGGAGAATTCAAAACAACGTGAGAACGAAAAGCATGGAGTTTGATATAAAACACGACACTCCAAATGTTGATTTTTAATGTTTGAATAACTCAGCTCCTAGTATATAACTGATTTCAAAACAATGACTGAATTTAAAATATAATTTATAAATACAGAATTTATAATTGTTGACAAATCTTCTTCTAAAAAAGTTGATTAACAATGATTGTAAAAAGTTAGGAAATAAATAGATGTGACGAACGACATATTTTTGTTTTTGTTTTGTTTTGGAAACGATTCTTTGACATCGTATTGAGTTGTCCAACACCATTGTGATGTCATAAGCCTGGATTTGTGTATGTGTTGTCTTTTATGTGACAATGTCTATCTAAAATAAATCTAGTAAATAAAGGGTAAACAAAATATGTAAGACAAATGGTAAAATAATGTTGTTTCCATTATCTTGTGTTTGATTGTCAAAATGTCGTAAAAAATAATGATATTGTTACTTAACATACATGGATATTGTGTGTAAGCAGACTGTTGTACGATAGCAGAATAAAAAGTCCCAGAACAACATGTAATCCTGCTGTTTTAATTTCAAAAAAGGATCTTGAGCATGCACTATTGCTCTTAGGAACTATATCAACACATTTCTATCTATAATTCTTTTTCAAAATTGAAACTAAATGTGTGCCAGCTGCATGCGGCAGACATATATAATTATGTTAGGTTAATAATACATTTTGAGGATAGAAATAAAATACAAAATAGTGTATTACCATTTTTAATTTCTTTGACTAGATAATTGACTTAATTAACACATATTCATTGGTATTATTTTCGGTATCTTTTTGTGTCATTCTTGGTACTGGCACTTGTCATTCAATGATATGTTATATATGTTGATATCATTGCAATCGTGTCTTGAAATGTATATTTACCGAATTAATAAATAAAAGAATTACAAAGAAGAACTGCCATTTGGTTCCCAATATTCCCAACGCTTAAAGTGACATTATGTCCATCATCCAAATGTTTAAAGTGAGTAAACATGTTAAATTGCCGTAATTCCTTTCAATTTTTTTATACTTCACACGAACGATGAATTATGCACGTTGACCAATGAAACTTCTATAAACATCCATCGGAAATTACCTTTAATATTCAATTTAAAAAAGAGTGGGTTGTCTTTGTTATCTTTTTAAGCAGATTTATACTTCATCCTAAACATTTTGCATGCACCATTTTAACAGTCAATCTTTTAAAAACATAGTATATAATCAATTGAGCTCAACATGACGATAGAAAGAAATGAGTATAATGTCACTTTAAGGGTGAATAGTTTGCCTAAAGCTGATAAGCTGATAAGAGTTTACAAGAAAGAGTACAAAAGTCAAGCAAAGTAAGCATGATTTCAGATTTTTAATGCATGGTCAAGATTTTCGTAGAATGTTTCCTATATTTTCTTTATTAATAATTAGATTTTTAAAAGCTTGGTATTGTAACAAACCGTCATTGAAAACATTATCAAGTACATGTAAGACGTTGTCATATTATCAGACAAACGTTCTTTCTTTCCCGTCTAAAATGGCTGTAGAAGATTACTGACATTTGTCTTACAAGGACCATTTGTAAAGCATTAATCAGTCTATTTCTTAACGATATTCAGACCGTATTTGGTAAGTGTTAAACATGTACAGAAATATTATAATTTTCCTTACATGTATATGCACGGACAAACGCAGAAAAAAAATCCTAGACAAGTAAATTGCCATCATATACTTCAATGAAGATTAAAGCTACTTAAAGTTTTTGTCCTGTCAAAACCATACCTCTTACATAATGACACAGTTGTTCAATAGGTATTATTAACATGATAATACTACAAAACATTAAAATACTACATGTAATACATTACTAATGACAACAAATAAAAGTAGAAAAATGTGGTTTAGCGGTAGGACCAAGGCCAATGATAATCATTTTGAAAACTGTACAATATCATCAATAATAAATATTTGTAATGTCCTCATGTGAATTAAATATTTAATAAACAGAGTAAAGATATTAGCCTGTAGTAAGACTTGCCATACGATACTCGACGGCACTATACTTTAAACATTTCTTTTGATAAAACTACAAATAAAAGTAATGATGCTTAATATGATGACTGTGTTGGTGATACTGATGGTGGTTTGTATTGGTGATGAAGCTGCTGATACTACCGATCATAAAGCTATTGTTAATGCTAAAGAAAATAAGTTTGGTCATTGCGATGATGCTGGTGCTGCAGATGACGATGATTGTCCTGCTTTGGCTAATAATAATTATGTTGATGATTATATAGAAGAAAACATAACAACAATATGGCGATAATTATTTTTACAGTTAAGTAAAATTTGATATATATCTGTGTGTTTTAATAAAACAAAACAAGTTTGATTAAAAACTGTGTGAAAAATAAAATAGAAAAAAGGAATCCCTGTAGAACACTCAAACGGCTTAATTAAAAATGTTGCATACTCGGCATGATTTATTCAGTAAATGAAGGTTATTAGTAATTGCAAGCATGCGTTAGCGCCCTATCCTCAAAATAGGCTTATGGTCCCCAAGATAAAGAGTGCGCTTGCCCTAAACGAGGAAGCAATTGGCAGGACTAACATTATTATTATGAAATTGCGATAGGGATCAGAGCTTATGAAACCTGCATATCACAGATTAGGCGTCAAATGTAAAGAGCATGCAAAATACCCAAAGGTGATTATACAGTGTTCAAGTAGGAATACTTAAATAACACAACAAGAAAGAGTTAAAATACAAGGAACTAATAGTATCACAAACATACACACAACAATTATATCCTGCTGAACGATCTTAAAGGATCGAATATATAACATGTTTGATCAATTCAGAATTATAAATATGATAAAACAAACTATGTAGAAAGAAACCTTTCAATTGTTATACATGTACTACAATATTGTATGTATAACCATGCTCGAATCATGATCTACGAATATCAATTAAGTTAAAAGATGGGTCAACTTAACACTTTATTACATAATGATGTAATAATAAAATTGTAGAAATTTAAAGTCAACCACTTCACAAGCATTAAATTTAACTTCCACGATTAATTGTATTAATATTCAATATCACGTATGAATTGCATATATAAAAGTACAGCCATTTATGACTAAACCCCCAAGTGTATGAGCTACATATCTTATTCATCTTAATAAAAGGATAATTATATAGTAAGCTGGTTCAAATGAAATTCTTTTGATTATTTACACAAAACATTGATAGTACAAGTAACAAATTGAGATAGTACCCAAATCACAAACATGTGGAAGCCAGGTGTAGGTTTTCATATTGCAGATTATTGTGTCTTTGGATTCACTGTTCTTGTCTCACTTGCAATTGGAATATATCATGCATTTTCTGGCGGGAAACAACGGACAACGTCGGAATTTTTCGTTGGAAATAGAAAGATGGCCATACTTCCGGTTGCAATATCACTGTTAGTATCGTTTGAGTCTTCGATTCTTATGCTAGGCCAACCTGCAGAGGTACATTTATTATTGTAAAAATCTTATTTGTCAAGCATTTGCGCTATATCTGGTAACTTATTATTGGCCAGTGGCAATTTTATCGAGAAAGAGAGCACACCAAAACTATTTTATCATTTCACTGCAACTAATTGTATATAATGTAAAGTCCTATTGCCAAATGAATCATTTGGAATTCCTAAAAGCCTGGTGCTTTTATAAAAACAAGTTTTTCTTAAGAAATTTTAGTTGAAAATAATTATAAAAAATAGAATATCAATTCATTTTACAAGAACATTTATCAAATTTGGATTAAAATAAATTTTTAAATATATAACTTCTATTTTTTGCACCATTTATATTTTCCGATCATGACAAATTGTAATAATTTTATAAGGAAAAAATGCTTAATATATGTCTTTTTTTACTTTCTTTAATGCTCTCAATTTTCTACAATAACCTAAAATAAATATGTGTTTTACGTTCACTTGAATGCACATTAATTACATATTTTGATCATGCTTATATGTCTGTTATAGCAGCTTTTGTTTTATTCATTTAAATTACTTTGCTATGTTTACAGGTCTACGTGTATGGTATACAAACAATTATGGGTGGGTTTGGATTTTTCCTAGCCAATATTCTGTCCATAATTATTATAGTTCCTTTAATGCACCCGTTGAAAATCACAAGCGCTTACGAGGTATGTTCTTTAAAACTTTTATCATTATAATTTATAATGAAACATGAGACTATAATAAATATAAGTTATTACTTTTTATCTAGTCATTTTCATGATTTATATTTTTAAACTGTTGTTCAATAGTAGTATAATTGATGGGAATAATAACATTTAGTTATACAAAAGAAAATTAAAACCGTTATTTCAGTATAATCGAGTCAGAATAGGTTTAAGAGGGTGGTTGACTTTTATTTTAAAGTTTATAAAGCAAATAGTTACTGAAAATAATTGCCATCGAAAGACAGCACTGGTCATTTGAAATTAGTTCTGTGCCTTCTGGATGCCCTGCTGGTGTGGCTGAATGGTACAGGAGTTTCATTCTGTGAACGTCGCCTTACCTTGTTGATCTTTATCATCATTTTATTTGATTCCCCAGAATATTTATACCAAGTGTGTTTTTTTTTAATTTATAATTTCAGTATTTAGAACTAAGGTTCGAAAGTCATGCTGTCAGAATCCTAGGTACAATTCTAGCAATGCTTGGATACGTAAGTTTTATTTGTGTTTGTTAATTGCTTACATTGTTAAACACACAGAACTTCAATAATTGTAAAGGAAAATGAAATTAACTTTATGATCAAATGTATTGTAAAACACTGTTCATATTGAAACTACACTTTGAGTTGTAAAACAAAACAGTTTATATTATTTCGGTATTTTTTTTACTTTAAACATAATTAAATATTTTATTGGACTTTTGCAGACCGGCTATATGGGAGTTGTACTGTTTGGTCCAGCAACGGCTCTTGAAGCAGGTATGTAAGACAAAGAATACTGGTCATCTTTTTTGAGATGTTTTTTGAAATGAAAATAAATAAGTTTTCCTTTAAACTTTACAACTACTTACTTTTTAATGTTTCTAACTTTCACCAAAATTCACAATAAAACCGTTAACGAAAATTACAATTCATATAATGTATACGAACAATAATATCATCAGGAATGTAATGGTTTCAAGAAGACCAACGCGTGATCATCAACTTCGCCCTCGTTAAATCGATATCATGATACATTTATTAAATCTTTTCATTAAGTCATATTTTGTTTACATTTTGACTGGTTTAAACATATTTATTTTAGTTCGATTGCCAAACAAGTTCATACAACTTACATTAATCACTTTCGAGTCCGCTTCCTGGAACCAACCAGTACTGGTGTCATATGAAAAAACATGGCCGTGACCCGGATAGGGCTCTAACCCATGATCTCTAGGTTGAGAGGCAGACGTCTAATTCCATGACAAGAATGCCATGATATCGTTGCATATTCTGTATTATAGATGATATGCTAGAATAACTACCTTTGTACTAATGTTTATATAATTTTATTTGTTAGTGATACGTTTTACAGAAATTCTTCTTTTTTAAATTTACAGTCACCGGGCTACCTAATTGGGTTTCAATAACTTCTATAGCCGTCGCTGCAGTCATTTACACGTCAATAGTAAGTTTGATTGATATTTTAATACAGGAATGTAGCAATTGTGTATTATACAGCGTATGATATTTAAATGTTCGGTTTCTTAAAATGAGCATACCATATTGTTACTTAGAAATGCCTTGATGTTCACATCAATTTTTAGAAATGATTAACACGTAAGGGAACGTGGACCTTGTTGATCATGTTTAAAAATATTGGTGTAAAATACCTTAATACAAATGATTTTATAAATTTTGTATTTAAAAAAACAGCTATCTTAAATTAAACTAAAAAACAAGATTACTTGACATTCGGCAGTTATTTTATTTGATATCACGCAATTAAAGAGACATCATGCTCATTGTGTCATTGTCAAGTTGATCTGAACTGACTATATATTTCAATAGATTGACTTCTACGATGGTGATTGACCAAAAGTTGATATCGGTAATGTTTAGGCTAAAATACACATCTGCCTAAAATGTAGAAAGATTGCCTTACTCTTTTTTTATAAATGGAAAGTTACAAGTAAATTCTGATGGATATTTACAAAAATTCCTTGGGCCAGGTGAGTTATTGGTCATTTATGCGAAGGGAATTATAAAATTGAAATAAACTATGGCTATCTTACTTTCACCTTTCTCTCACTATATTCCTTTGGATGGGCATTTTTTCAGTTTAAGGAATAATTAAGGCATCATTAAAATTAAAATACCATTACCTTTTGAAATATACGTGAGTTATCACAAAACCGGATTTATATTCATATGCACGAAACACTTACGATAAATTGTAACATTCCAGGGTGGATTAAAGGCTGTTATATGGACAGATGTGTTTCAGTTTATAATCATGTACGCTGGCTTCTTTGCTGTTGTCGCTCAGGTCAGATTCACCTTTGTCATTTAGAACACAGATTTAGACTAAAGCATAATCATGTGCAATTGAAAAAATATTAGCACACACAGAAAAAATTATATTATCATATGAATAATATATGTATATTATTTTGTTCGCTTTATTGCTAATAATTAATAAATGATTTGTTTGATACTTAATATATTACACATTATTCAGAAAAACATAATGATTTCAAAAATACATTCCTATCCCAATATATTTTTATTTTATTTATAGGGCACTCTTAAAATTGGTGGTGTAAGTAAAACCTGGGAGATCGCGAAAGAAAAGGGACGTCTTAATTTTTTCGAGTATGATGTATATTTTTTCTTATATTTGTAAAAGATTACGACAGCTATTCTTATTTGTTATAGTTCATGAAATGTTGTAGGCAAACTATTTTTAGAACGCACACAGAATATCCAGTATAAGAAAATAATCACATTTAAACCGATGGCATCTTCTTTTTGTGGCAATATTTTAGGATCAATTATTACAAGTTGTCGATAAAACGCAATATTTTCGTAACAGCATTTATCAGTATGAAGTCGTCAAGAAATCATGGCTCTCGCATAAATGATCTGATTTCAAATTAATGTGTGATTATTTTCAGTTTTGATCCAGATCCCACACTGCGACAGTCATTTTGGAGTTTGGTAATTGGAACATTAATTCGAGGGTTTGGTCTTGTCTTTAACCAATCTTCCATTCAACGAATCAGCTCTACACCCAATGTTGCTTCAGCAAGAAAGTATGCCGAGTTTTCATTTGACTCTCTCATACATGTACCAACCTGTAATAGTCCCGATGACATACAATAGCACCAGTTGGTGTAGATTTGTGGGCCTTGATATATTTATAAAAAAAATATATTATTTTAAGTCAATCGCTGCCTCTGACATAAGATTCATTCTAAGCTGGAACCAGTGGGATAATTTCTTCATTATTTTATAAGTTAAACTTGGACATTTTCAATATTTTGCATTTATTGACAATCCCTTTTAAATTTGTACCATAATTTTAAACGGAAGCGAGTACGTTTTTATATGTTCATAATATATATTACGTGATTGGAAGATACTTTAAATATAGCACACTTATATATTGTGGTTTTATATTTTTATTATAGTAAATAAATGTATGAAAACATTTACTTGCATGCAATTTAATATTTATATGATAGCATCTTTATTTTTATTATTTTACACCAATAAATACTGATTCAGTAATCATTTTTTTCAGAGTCCTATATTGGGTAGCCCCTGGATTCTTAATCACTGGCTTCCTGGCAATAATAGAGGGTGTTATAGCGTATGGTTATTTTGACACAATTGGGTGTGACCCACTGGTTTCAAAACAAATTTCGAATCCAAACCAGGTAAATAGATTAATGGATGAGTGTAAAACTACTTTTAATTCTATTCAGGTAAAAACTTTTCAGAAAGTTTAACATGTGATTTACAAAAACGCTTTATATATAAAGAAAATAAATTATTTAGAGTATTGATAAGATTGTCATTGATATCGGTTTTGGGGTATATTAAAACCATTGATATGTTCTGAAAAGTCACCTTTCCTTTTTCCCAACAAACTATGATTTCTCAGAACCAGATAATTTCTACATACAAATTATAAAAACAAATGCCGGGCTGTGTCACATCGTCCTATTATACATACTAATTTATCGTACATCTTTGTTGCACAATAGGGACAAATAAAAGATATGATAACACATGATCGTGTTTTATGAAGCGTTTCCAAGTCATTCAAAACGTAATTAGATTGTTGCTTTCATTTATAAATAAATTGTTATGTTACACTTTTCCAGATCATGCCGTTTATGGTAATGGATATATTTCAAGGATTACCCGGTTTACCAGGGCTTTTTATGGCAGCGTTATTCAGTGCTTCTTTAAGGTATATAACGGTTTCATTTTTTCCCCGTTTAATGCTAATCGTTACTATTAAGTTGAAGATATTAAATTGATCCCTCTAAATCCATCTGCATTTAAAAATGCTCCCAAAGACAATTGCAGTAGCTAAGCTGAATCATAAATGTGAACACTGGAAACTGAGAAATATGAAGAGGTTACAAAATGGCCGAAATTGTCACAATGGTTTAGGAATAAGATATTAATATAATTATGATTCAAAGAATAACTACAATTTATATGAACGAATGTTTCTGAATGAATCTATTGGAGAAAGCTGAAAACCGTTTGAGTTCGCAAGAAATGACGTCATATGAGAAAATAAGTCTTGACCCTAGTGAAGTAGCAATTGATTTTAGTCATAGGGTCAAAATCTCCATGTATTACATAACATAATATGTATTCCTCTTTGTTATATCATATTAAATGAATTTTTTTCTCTTATACGTTTTCACATTAATTAAAAATAAAACAAATGATTTGTTACAATGCCCCAGTTTGATGTGAGTTAATTAGCAATAAATACAATTTTGCTTTTTAAAGTTTATCTATGGTGGTCACAAATTTTTATTTGATATATTTGACAACAGTACAATATCGAGTGGACTCAGTAGCTTATCTGCACAGTTCTGGACTGATCTAGTCAAACCACACATCAAACCTGTGTCGGAGTTTAAAGCAACAGTTATAGCAAAATTCTCTGGTATGTACATTACTTATAGTAATTATCGTGCTTTAATACAAATAGCTACTGCTGGCTTAATCTTTCGATGTCTGTTATATCTTATATTTTAGTAGTACATTACTTTTTAAGAGTTGGTCATAAAGTACAAACCCTTTCTTATCTTGTGTTGTTTGAGGAAACTAAAACAGGTGTCACTATTTTAAGGCGCACTTGGTTACTACCGTGGCTGTTAATTAGATATATTTGATTAAACATTGTGTGGTAAAATGTACAAATAACGTAATAAAAATATCAATATGTTTATAACCTTCTTCTTCAGTTGTGTTCTTTGGAGGACTTATAATGGCTGTAGCATTTATGACTGCGAGAGTCAGTGGAACTCTTAACCAGATATCTGCCAGTTTATTATCGGCATTCGGGAGTCCCCTTACCGGCTTATTTGTATTTGGTGCTTTTTGTCCATGGGGGAATGCTAAGGTGAAGTATTGGTTCATAACAGTCATTGTTTCACATAAATAGAATGGAATACTCTGGTACTGAATTTAGTTATGCAATTGTGTTTTGTGATGGCATTCATTTCCACTTTCAGAAAGACTCAAAAGGTCATTGCACTTATTATTAAAATTATTGTTCCCAAAGATTTGCTTACAACACCTGATGGACAATATATAAAATTGCATACAGGTTTTACATTTCCTTACCTTTATATTATATGTTAAGATATGATGACCGTTAAGTTAACTGCAAGTCATGCATCTGTTAGGTATTATAAACAAACATGTTTTTGTTCCTTTGTTTGTCTAGGGAGCTTTATGGGGAACAATAATGTCATCAATTGTGACCTTTGTCATATCTTTTGGACAAGTTACAACCAAAGGATCTGTAAGGAACACGAGGCTTTCACCGGCACCGGTTGATCAATGTTTTACTTCAAGTATTTTGAGTAATCTCAACATGTCCGATGTTACAACAGAAATGTATATGTTTAGCTCAACGATGGAGTTTGGAACAACAGTTGCGGAAAATTTAGAAATTCCTGAATTGTAAGTATTTTTTGTAAAGTAACAAAATAAACATGCTCATTTTAAAAACCGTAATGAAAGTCATTTCGAACACTATTCTTAATTAAGAAGTTCTATCGGAATGGTTATTAGAACCAAGGTATATATAATGTACATTATTCAATTTCACAAGTTTTATGATATTTCCTTCCCTGCAAAGCCGCCGTGATCATGTAGCTAGCTCTTCATTGATGTCGAATTTGAAGAACAGCAGTTACAAATTTAAACAATTAACTAAATATGATGCTCCATTTTGTGCACTATACAATGAATATGACTTCTGTCAAAACTTTATTTTTGTCTTTGATGCCATGATCTTGCACAGGTTCGAGATGATTTCTATAGAGTAATTTCCTAAAGAGATTTCTTTGCCTTAACTATTCAGTAACGCTGATTGAGACTTTGTCAAATTAGAGAAAAAATAAATTAAAATTTTAAACTTTATTAAAGGCTTTTACCTACGCATTTAAGCTTCATATTTATGGAATTTGGGATATAGGCATATAAATGTGTACGTATATAACTCGTTGATAAGAAAAAAAACTACAAGAAACTGTAGACACCTTTAAACCTCAAAGGAACAGTTTTGTAGTTGAAGTTGTTTTTCTTTCAGGACTGGTTTCCGGCGTATTTTTACATTATCATTTCACTGGTTTGGAGTTGTCGGAATATTGCTGACGATTATATTTGGATCTTTTATTTCATTTTGTACTGGTGTGTAAATATGCTTATTTTTCTTTGGTTTGTCTTCATAAATTTCGTCTGTTTACATTTTCATCATTTAATGATAACCGGTACATGAACATGAATGTTTCATTTCTTAAAACGTAAGTCATCGTACCAGGAAATTCATCTTTAACATACGATCAGAATTACCAATAGCATTTAAATGATACATTATTTTGCATAGGCGTAACGATTGAAGATACATTTACATAAATCGGTAATCACATGCTTTCTTTTTAATCAAGTGAAATATGTATTTGTACAACTGATTACATTAGTACCAGTAGCATGTATTTTGTTGTTATTTGAAGGATATAAAAAGCCAGGTGAAGTCAACCCAAAGTATCTTATTCCATTTTACGATAGCTTGTTTCCGTTTCTACCTGAATGTATTCGTAAACCTCTTAGATGTGGATATGATTATACAAGGACTGATTACGAGGTAGGTAGCGAATTTAGACCGTTATTTTCTGAATTTTGATTTTTAATGAAAAGCATCCTCGTTTGTGTTGTTTTGCAATGTTTACATGCAATAATTCATTGTTTTCATTTCTATTTTATGCTTGTCGAACTTATTATGTTATATCAATAAAGTTACTATAAAATGTTGATACTTCATTCGGCAATCCTTTATTTTGAGCTAATCGACGGCAAAACTATTTTATTTGTAACTTATAAAGAGAAGATACAAATTTAGATAATGAAACACACGAACAGCAGTCCTACAATTTCCTAGCAAATTATAAATAGTTATAACTAGTAATAAATTGTATCAGATGTTTGTAAAGATTTATAATAACATTTATAATGTAAGGTTTCATAAAATGTTATGAACCTTTATAAATAGTTTTCTAGATACGTAGTTTTACCATTTTATTGTTACATAAAGTCATTACTTTTATCAGAAAGAGAATAATTAATATATTCTATCATTATTTTTACTAGAAGGAGAATTTACCCGAGGAGGAAATAATTGCTTCTTTATACAACGTGGAACAGGAAATCATTCCTTCGGAACAGGATGCAAATGAACATCATGTCGTCAATGGAAAAGCAATCTTTGGCACCGATGAAATTGATACAAATTTATCTGTATTACCGAAAAAGAGCAGCAATGGATATGTAATGCTAGAGACGGATGATGAAAGTCAAGTTGTAACGGAAACGGATATACGAAATGACAATCTTGTAGTTAAATCAACTGGAGATTTATCTTATCATAGACCACAAACTGGCGAAATTGAAATGGAAGTTCTAAAAGGTTACAAAAGCTCTGAATTTATTACTTTGGAGAAAACGGACAACACACAGATACTGAAAGTAAAAGCTGGGAGCTTAGAGTATGTTATCAAGCCTGATCAATAGAACAGATATTTATTTTTTGCTATTTTATTATCATATTTCGACTGTCATTTATATATATTTGCTTTAATTTACATATATTTAATAAACAAGATAAACGAAAGAGAAACGGTGATTGTTGTTTAATTTATGGAAAGCATTAATTTTAGAAAACAGTTATGTATGCATAGAATAGAAGAGCTTAATACTTTTGTTAACAGTAGAAAAGATGACAATAAAGGTCATGAATAATGTATTAACATCAGCTCGAACTATGTTTAAACAGTACTTAGAAGCTCATTACTTTGAAGAGCACAAAACAATTTCCTACATGGTTTACATTTATTTAACTATATAACGTATTTTATTAACAACATGTTGTTCAAAACCAGGTCAGTCGTTCACCACCGTAAGTTGTATGTTGTAGATCAAATCATGCTGATGGAAAATCAAAGATATTTCTTCAAGTTAAACGACTTTTTATAATTTGAGTGACCAAATAGAATGAAGACTTAGTTATGTGTGTGTACGCGCGCGCGCGAGTGCGTGTGTGATCCTGGGTGTTGCTGCATATAGGATGAATAATTCAATGTAATGCTATTTAATTGCTTGATGTCATATCCCTGTCCATTTATAAGTACAAACAAAAGGAAATGAAATGATGATAATAAGAAGAGAAAAATATAAACATCTTTTTATTGTTTAAAAGGCTTAAAACAGTTACTTAAAGTTAAAGATCAGTTGAGAAAGGCAGATAGAACTTATTCTTTTATTTAAGATGGCAACCCTTTGTAAACTTATGGTACTTCCAGGTGTGATAAGCCTTAATCGGTTGATTACAAGAGATAGGTGAGTAAATTCAAACTTGCGTTCATGTACATCATTTTTTTTAAAAAAGATGGAGATAGTTATAAGGCTTATTGTGTCGGCGATGATGAAATTGGTGATGGCATTTCTTGATGATTGTGAAGTTGTGGTAACTGCGGCTGGTGATGCCGCTGTGCTGAAAAGGAAGACGACTTTCATAATGTTAATATTGATGTTACATACTACATGCTTATATAGATGTTAATGATATGCATGATGATGATAAGGAAGAAAGGAAATAGCAAATATACTACAGTGATGAGTAGTAAAAGTGTATATAAATAAAACCATGTTAGATTAAATGCCGTCTGGAATAATACACAATTAAAAACGGAATCTGCATAAACTACTACAAATGGCTGGTGAATAACAATGTTAAAATGTCATGAACATATATCATGATGTACGAATACTAAGTATTCTAATATGGGTCTAAGTCACACGTGATTACATAATTTATTATGCTATGTATTCTTCTTTATGACGAAATAATGAAAATTATTATTCAATATCATGAGCTTTTTGCCATCTATATAGCAGGTAAAATTAGTTTTTTGCATATATCTCAGTGCATTTGTTTGATGTTTTATTCGCCTTCAGAAGACTACTGTCCATCGTTTAATATTTTTGACATGTTCTTAATGTAATTTATGAAAGTTTGTATACGGGAAACAGTCAGGAGGCAAAGACAACAGTACAGTTCGTTGAAATAAGGGATAAAAAGTAAATCACAAACATGTGGAAGCCAGGAGTTGGTTTTCATATTGCAGATTATTGTGTTTTTGGATTCACTGTTCTTGTCTCGCTTGCAATAGGGATTTATTATGCATTTTCTGGCGGGAAACAACGGACAACATCGGAATTTTTCGTTGGAAATAGAAAGATGGCTATACTTCCGGTTGCAATATCACTGTTAGTATCTTTTGAGTCCTCGATTCTTATGCTTGGCCATCCCGCTGAGGTATTTATTAATCATTATTTATTTTGAAAGTCTTTCAAACAATATTAAGGTATTTTTAATCGGACGAATACCCTATATCACGCAAAAGCACCTTAGTTAAAGCTTGAGATGCCAAATGTATGTAAGCTTTATATTATTGAATTTATTTTTAAATATGTCATCACATTCCGTTGCTAAAATGTTTTCAATGTTAAATGATTTTCAAAAATAGTTTATTATTAGCACGATATAAAGATACATAGAAAAGGTTAAGGGAAAACATATTTTTACATTCTTAGAAAGTTTACCACTTTGCTACAATTACTAAATATATTTACTGTTCTAATAGCATATATGTATTTATGACTTTATTATTTCACAGGTTTATGTATATGGCATACAAACTTTTATGGGTGGGGTAGGATTTTTCTTCGCCAATATTCTATCCATAATTATTATAGTTCCTTTGATGCACCCGTTGAAAATCACAAGTGCTTACGAGGTATGTACCTTGCTTTTATCAGCAATTCGTAACGAAAATATATTAGGGACAAACAGTACAAACAGTGGTTAAAAAACCCAATAAAACATTTATCAACTTTAATTATTTTTGTTCTAATTTTGGTCTAATGCTCTCTCCATAATTTTGTCGTATCATTGTATTGTTAATGTTACAACGAATAAAGATCTATCAACAAAAAAATATCAAACACTTTTAAGAATATTGGATAAATTATCGGAATTACTTAAAAATAGAACCAGATACACGATTATTTCAAGTTATTCCGGAAATCGCACACATGATATCATTTGAAGCACAGTACCGTCAGTGCAAAAGTTGTGCGTTGAATTGGCGTTTGTGTAAGCGTGGTCAAAATATAAGGTTATTGTTTTAATGGAAATAGTTACTAAAATACACGAAATTTAGAAAGTCAAACGGCGTAGTCATTATGATTTAGATTTAAAATGTGATAAGATTAGGGAATATGTAAACTTTTTATTTCAGTATTTAGAGCTAAGGTTCGAAAGCCATGCTGTCCGAATCCTAGGGACCATTCTAGCTATGCTTGTATACGTAAGTTTATCTTTGTCCAATGTTTTCTAACAATGAAGTTAATCATGCAATGTTGTCATTGATGTCACCAAGAAATGGCATTCAATCTTAAAACAAATCAAAGAAATAAAAAGAAATAAAAAAACAGCGTGTTATTAGAAAACAATTTACGAGACTTAGTTCTGTATTTGGAAATACAGAAAAAATATACACGCATTTACTTTTCCCGATTACAATCGAATAACTCTAAAATCTTTTTTTTCTGTTTGATTTGTAGACGGGCTATATGGGAGTGGTTTTGTTTGGTCCAGCAACGGCTCTAGAAGCAGGTACGTTGAATTTGAAGAAGGAAACACTCCATTTATATTTAAGATGAAAGTAAAAAAGGTTTAAAATTCGTGCAATAGATTTAAAATTCTGGATATTTTCGTTTCTATTTTATCTTAACAAAATAATTGTTAATGTCAATAATAATGCATATGCAATAAACGAACAATAAAATCGTCATATAACCATTGTTAAAGAGAAAACGCATCATCCCTTCACTTTGTAATATTTCTTTTACTTTGTACCATTAAATACAATTTTAGTTGAATCATTAAATATTGTTAAAATGAAAATTATGCAGTGATGATAGTAAATTCAATGCAGACATAGCAAACACGTTAGGTATGTCGGTAAGACAGGGTTTTCTACGCTATGTTTTAATTAAATCAAGTTTTGCTCGTATGTTATTGTTTTTACACCTTTTTTTCAATGACAAGACTACAGTAGTCCTGCTATACCTGCACAAATGATGCTTAACTACCTATGTTAATAAATATTTCTTTTCATTTGTCAATAATAGAATTGTGTAGAACATGTCTCTGATTTTCAGTGACTGGATTACCTAATTGGGTTTCAATAACTTCTATAGCCGTCGCTGCAGTCATTTACACTTCAATAGTAAGTTTTATTTTCACGTTATCTTATGTAAGTATTTGTCATGTTAAATTTCAAGTTACTTGATATATGCATTACATATTGCTAGAGTAATTAATATGATTTAATATTTAATATATTAATCTATTTAAAGAAACAAGTTCAAGTATCTTTGATATCTGTTTACCAATTTAATCTTTAATTGGCGGATCTTACTTTGAAATAGAAAAAATAGAAAGTTGATAAAATGACCGTTGGTACACAATTGCTACCAGGGAGCTAAGTAACCATTAAAACGTCATTCTATGCGTGAAATGATAAATCATATCACACATTTCGTTCTTACATATCTATACTACAAAATATACGTTCATTACTGTTGAAACGTTTATGCATATTCAAATGCACGAACCAATATTCAACAGTGTTAAATTTCAGGGTGGTTTAAAGGCTGTTATATGGACAGACGTATTTCAGTTTATAATCATGTATGCCGGATTTATTGCCGTCGTGGCTCAGGTCAGTTTATAACTTTTGATACTTAAAACATAGATAATGTATAACTACGAATTATATCATTGCAATCCTCATTCACGTACACGAGGTAATATTAAACATTTAAGACCTGATTTTAGCCAGTGTGCTAAATATAAGAATACATATGGTAGAATGTTTAAAAATACTTTAATATGTGATGGTTGGCACACGGTTCCTATGTCAACTGCACACTTTTATCACCACTTCTTTATAAAAATAACAAAACGTATGATTAGAAAATGAAATAATGACCTAATAATTTTTTACAAAAAAGATTAAGCCGTTGCTAAGGGGCATGGACAGTAACTTGCACTTACGGTAACTTGCACTCTCCAGTACCAAACCGAGCCTGCAACATTTTCAATTTTGCCGTTTTGGGCTTTCATTAGGGATTCTTATTGTCTCTATTTTAGGCGTGTTTAGGAATTCTGTTTTTTATTCTATGTTGATATAGATTTATATTTGAAGATACTTGATTTCTATAGGGTACCATCAAAATCGGTGGTGTAAGTAAAACCTGGGAAATTGCGAGAGACAATGGACGTCTTAACTTTTTTGAGTATGTTGTTGATTCCTTTTCTTATATTTGATACCATGATTGCAGATATTCTTATCATTTTTCCTTGTTATTAGCTAATGATTCAAAACCTGCCGATATATACATTTGTATATTTTAATAACCCTTTTAAAATGAAGAATAAGTATAAAATTAGATTTGTTAAAAAGTTCTTTAAAACTCATTGCGTGATCTTTAAGTAACAAAATTTCAGGAGTTACAATGTTTTCTATAAAATGACATCTTTTCTTGACACAAAGTAACATAAGTTGTCAAGATAATTGGCATTAATACATGCTTTCATAATAAAACACTTTGTAAATATTTTCAGTTTTAATCCAGATCCCACACTTCGGCAGTCATTTTGGAGTTTGGTAATTGGAACATTAATTCGAGGATTTGGTCTTGTCTTTAACCAATCTTCCATTCAACGAATCAGCTCTACACCCGATGTTGCTTCAGCAAGAAAGTATGTCAAGACAATGTTTACGCTTTAGAATTTGTTTTTTTTTATTCTTACCCATTGCAAGATGCGTGAGAAACATTATACTTTTCTTTGTCGGTGATAAAAGGAGCTAATTAAAGCGAATCTGCGAGGTCCGCCCTTTTCCTATTTATATTTCTCAAACAGTTTCTTTAATATAGAAGTATGACATTAAAACCTACAAAAGTAATTAATATTATTTCAAAGAACGTTACAGGGGCTTTAACTTTAGCAACTATCATTTTTTGCATGGCTTTCACTTTCTGTTAAATTCAAATATATATTTTAAGTGATGATCTGCAAAGTTTTCTTTATTCATTTTTTTCTCTTCTGTCGGCTTTTAAAATAACAAAGCAGACAGAAAAAAATCAAGATATTTTCAAATACAAAACTGACAGTACAGAAGTTATTTTTTATGAAATTTGGTACGTTTGTAAAGCTTTGAAAATTTATTGACAATTTCAAACTAAAACAATATAAAAGACTTAAGTGACATGTTGATCTAGATATATACTGTACAAACAGAACTGAGGTTTTGAACACTTTCAGAAACTATATGAAATATATATCTTCACTGCTCTTCTATTGTGTGCTTTACTCAAGCTACAGAAACATAACATGATCTCTGTCTTTACTATTAGACACCCACATTTTTTCAAATTTTGCTTTAAGAGTCTTGTACTGGGTAGCCCCTGGATTCCTCATCACTGGCTTCCTGGCTATTATTGAGGGTGTTATTGCGTATGGTTATTTTGATACGATTGGATGTGATCCGCTTGTATCGAAACAAATTTCGAATCCGAATCAGGTATTGCAGATCTTAACATTTAAAATACAACTTATTTTATTCGAACTTGCAAATAATAAATAAATTTTTCTTCTGATTTAAAAGATTATTATTTTATTCAGATTCTTTGTTGTCACCGAAACTTTTATTATATCAAATATGACATTGTATTGCAGATCATGCCATTTATGGTAATGGACATATTTCAAGGATTACCTGGTTTACCAGGGCTTTTCATGGCAGCGTTATTCAGTGCTTCATTAAGGTAAAAATGCTGAATGCATATGACAGCCGGTTATTTATATCTACTCGTAAATTGTAATAAAAAGACTTTTGTCTAATCACCCCTACACACACCACTCTCTCCGTCAGTTTTGAGAAACATTCGTCGAGGATATAAATTTATTTATGCATGGATTTTGACCTGGCTTCTGTCGCAGAAACACGTTTTTATCTGTATGTCAACGAATTTGACTATTGAAATGAATGTGCATCATAATTACTAACTCATTATTGAAGAAAACTTGAGAGAAAAAAAATACAGAATCCTTACAGAACGTCAACAATTTAAAATGTTGCAGGTTCGGTTTGATTGATTGTGTTTTTATGGATAGAATTTGAAAATTTCAAGCTACCGACTCCACACCACCGAGCAGTATTCAACATTTAAAACATGAACAAATCTGTAATTACTCTCGTTGTCTCAAACAAGAAAACAAAACTTGGTATTGACCCAAGTAAGACTCACGCATTTTCTCGGTTGGAAGGCATTCAACATTACTCCTGTGACTATATTATATTCATATCTCCTTTAATATATTATAATCGCTCTAGGTTGCTAAGTTAACAAATTAGAGAAAACATGAAATATCAAATCAAACATATCACTAAACTGGCGTTTTTAACAGTACTCCAGTGCAATATAGTTAGTTAATCAGTTTAACTTTAAATTTAATGTAACAAATTTTTATTTCATATATTTGACAACAGTACAATATCGAGTGGACTCAGTAGTTTATCTGCACAGTTTTGGACAGATCTAGTCAAACCACACATCAAACCCGTGTCGGAGTTTAAAGCAACAGTTATAGCAAAAATTTCGGGTCTGTACAGTTGTTATAATCTTGATATCTTAAAAATTATAAAAACAAATATGCATTTCGTTAACACCATTGCAACTGCACCTTTTCGTCAGTTTTTTTTGTTATTACATTCATTTTCTTTCGAAAATTGTCTTCTATGATAAGAAAGAAATATTCTTTGATGCCGCGTCGTTTGAAAAAGCGATTACTCTAATTTATATATGTAAAGGACTGTATTTGGCAATTTAACTCCTTATTTGTATCCTAGTATTTGTTGATACGCTGTCATTGTACGATGACATTCTAACGTAAAAGGGAAATATATTAACGTCACTTTTTCTTTTTTTCAAGTTGCGTTTTTTGGAGGGCTTATAATGGCTGTAGCATTTATGACAGCGAAAGTCAAAGGTACACTTAACCAGATTGCTGCCAGTGTATTATCGGCATTTGGGAGTCCTCTTACCGGCTTGTTTGTATTTGGTGCCTTTTGCCCCTGGGGAAATGCAAAGGTTGAGTATCAGTTCATGAGATTCATTACAATACATTAATATTATTAAATACAGTGGTAATGTACCTATACCATGTTGTGGGGGTGACGTTATTTTACGTTGGTTTCCATTTACGTAGATCACCACTTAAACATGATGAAATTTTACATGTAAAATTTGTATAATAAATCCCAATTTGACCCAAGTCAGTTTAAACTAAAGAGAAAAATAAAGCAACTTTTACGGTATTATAGTATTATAAACACAAATGTTTTTTGTCGCTTTGTTTGTCTAGGGAGCATTTTGGGGAACAATATTGTCATCAATAGTGACGTTTATCATATCTTTTGGACAAGTAACAACCAAAGGATCGGTAAAGAACACGAGACTACCACCGGCACCGATTGATCAATGTCTTGCTTTCAGTGGTTCGAGTAATCTCAACTTGACCTATGTTACAACACAAATGTATATGGTGAACTCAACGATTGGACTAGGAACAACAGTTGCTGAAAATTTAGAAATTCCCGAATTGTAGGTACTCCTTTTTAAGGAAAACAAACAAACACACAAACAAAAAACTGCTTTACACAACATTAAGAGTTTATCAGAGTCAACAAATCATAAATCTATAGGAACGGTTATCAGTACCGAAGTATACAGACTAATTTATTCGATTCCAAAAAACTTCATGACTTTTTTTCTTCTAAGCCGTCATGAGCAAATAGGTGTTCATCGATACGGTTTGGAACATTTTAAAGTAAATTTAATATTCAGTTTCGTGAAGATTGCACTGGATATTTTAATGTTAAAAATTCCTTCGTTAATGCCATGATATTGCACATGTTTTGTGATACATTTTATGCGATTTATTACCTAAACAAAGTCAATTTGTATTGAAAAATCTGATGGGTCACCTAATCATTTTGATAAGCATATTTCTAGGATATTAACCTGTTACTCGCTTTAATTTGACATAAAATATGTTGTATTTGAGACAACCAATAAATTGTTGCTGTGCCACCAAACAACACAAACGAACACTGTGGACGCTTTTACAGTTTTACAGTCCCAAAAATGGTTATGAAGTAAAATGTTTTTTTTTTCAGGACTGGTTTTCGACGTCTTTTTACTTTATCATTTCACTGGTTTGGAGCTGTTGGCATTTTGCTGACAATTATATTTGGGTCTATTATTTCATTTTGTACGGGTGTGTAAATATATTAAACATTCTTTTTTATTTGACTTAAATAAGACTTACAACACACCAAATATCTGCGATTTCTTATTTTCAATATTACATAAACATGATCGTTCCATTTCTTAACGTCTATATGATCTTGTCGATAAATTTATATTTTTCAAATCACCATTAACATTTGCTTTTTTATTCTTATTTCTAACTTAATTTTTAGTATCCAGATATTGTTTCAAAATATTGACCAATTCGCAAATATATGAACCACATTTTGATTCTGTTGCCTTTTGGTAATTAATTTAATTATAGTGATTTAGTATTTTTCATGGAAGTCAAAATACTTCTTCTTTTACATTTTGCTATTTTATGTAATACTTTCACATTTAGTGCCCTTTTCTTCAGGTGATTACATGAAGTTTAACATGCTTTGAAACAATTATTTAAACGTTATAATTGTCATATTTATCCGTTTTTAAAAGGAAAAAATATTCGTTTCTGATGGCATAATGTGTCTTAAATAATATATATTTACATACAAAGACTTACAATTATCTATTTCTAAACATATTTTGTTATTGAATTTATTCAAAGGATATAAAAAGCCAGGTGAAGTCAAACCAAAATACCTTATTCCATTCTACGATAGTTTGTTTCCGTTTCTACCTGAATGTATTCGTAAACCCCTAAGATGTGGATATGATTATACAAAGAGTGATTACGAGGTAAGTGACATAACCTACTTATACTTTTTTTCTGATTTTCTTTTTTTTTGACAATCAACTCTTCTTTTGCACTTGCATGATTACATATAACAATTCATTGTTTTTATTCCTATTTCATACATCATGTTGTCGGACTTATTAGGTCTATCAGTTAAGTTATAGAATGGTTATACCTCATTTGGCAATTCTTCAAACAGCCCGTTGTGCATATTGAACGAATTCAGATGCAAAGAAAATATTTTATTTGCAAATGCATTATGCATATTGAACGAATCGGATGCAAAGAAAATATTTTACTTGCAAATGATACCAAACAAAGTTCATGAGGAGACATAAACTTAATGATAAGTGAGACCAACAGAAGTGATACAATTTCTTTGCAAATTATAAATGGTAATAAACAATGATAAACGGTATTAGATATTCCTAAAAAGTAACCATATAACGTTTTATTATAATGTATTCTTTAAACACCATTTTATCGTTATATTATGTAATTTATACCAGAAAGAGAATATACCGGAGGAGGAGATAATTGCTTCTTTATACAACGTGGAAAAGGAAGTCCTTCCTACTGAAGAGGATGAACATCATGTCGTTAATGGGAAAATATTGTTTGGAAATGATACAGTAGATACAAGTTTATCGAATATACCAAAAAATAACGGCAACGAATATGCAGTCTTAGAGACAGAAGATGAAAGTCCAGTTGTAACGCAAACGGTCAGGATTAATGACCACCTTGTAGCTAAATCAGCTGAAGATTTATCTTATCATAAACTGCCCATTTGTGATATTGAAATGGAACTTCTCAAAGGATACAACAGTTCTGAATATATAACCTTTGAAAAAACGGACAACACGCGGACATTGAAACTGAAAGCGGAGAGCTTAGAGTATGTTATCAAGCCTGATGGATACAATGCGTAGTTAACATTAGATATATTGTGCTTTTTCTTTCTTATGAAATCATAGTCAGTTTATTAATGAGATAAACTTTGTGTAAATAGGCATATATTCAAACGATTAAAGTAAAAAAGTGATATTTCAGTTTTACAATTTTATAAAAATGTAATAAATTGATTGATAAAAAAGAAGTATAACTAATTCATATTTGATTTTAATACTGGTGTTTTTCTTCTGGTCACACAACCATAAATTTTCATAATAAAGTTGTAACATTCTTCATATATATCTTGGGGATAATCTGTGCGGATGCCGCAGAGTCCGTCCAAAGTCCCCGGAGAATGTGTACAAGGTTCATGGGTCCATAATTACAAAAAACACAGAACACTTTTCATTCTACATATCTACATTTACCTTAGGGTAGTTAGGGTAAGATTAAGTCATACAAATTATTCAATGCACAAATTGATATCAATATTTCACTAAGAAAGCGTAACAACTAGTGTAAACAGTTTAACATACTCAACTATTTTATTAGGTTATACTTTACCTGACATGCATGCGTTCCTACTTTATTATAGTAAGGGACAGGTTTTTTTTTTAAATAATGTAACATTCACAATGATGTTAGCCGGCTGACAAATGGGAATAATGACCGCTTAAATTCTTGGGAAGGTCAAACAGCTAACGTAATAGTATTAGAGCATGTTAACTTAGATATTTAACAATAGAAGAACGTAGCGCTGAACGTGCAGTCATGTGTCGCCAAGGTAGCAATTGGTAAACAAAAACGTATTTTGACTTCCATACTAAATCACTTTAACTATACCAATTGCCAAAAGGTAAATAAAGAAAAAAAGGATACGTTATTTATATGGCCAACACGTGACTCTTTGGTAACTGCACCAAGATTCCAAAATATCATCAAAATCATAAAAATTGCGTTTATTTTAGTGAAATAGTCAACCCAATGTTTTTTTTTCCATTTTAACACAGCGAATTTCTTTTATCCAATTTCAACTGACCGGTACTTTAATACGGGTAACAACGTTTATTTTCTGCATCTTTGTAACGTAGAACATCTATAATAACTATTTCTTTGCTTCCATGGATCATTTGCAACGATTCCTTGTTTTCATTTATTTTATACATTCTGTTGTCAGAACAACATATCTCTTTTAAATTTACAATACCACAAGTTCAATACTCAGTAGTTAGCTGTTAAGACACAATCTTTTCTCTCGATATACCATTTCAATCATAAATAATGTCAAACCAAATACTACTACTGCTAATGCTGCTGCTGCTGCTACTGCCACTACTACCACTAATACTACTACTACTACGACGACTACGACTTGTTATAATAATAAAACAAAAAAGCCCCTAAAAACACAATGTTTTTACTTTTTATTCTTCTATAATTAAAAATGAACCATAGGCACATGGAATTAAAAAAAATAGCTGCTGATTAAACTAAATACAAACAGTTACAAATTAAAGACGCTCATATTTTGATAAATTATCTGTAACATTCAGCTTTAGCAGAAAAGAATGTAATGACAAGATTTTAGCCAAACATTCAATAAAATTGAAATGTAATTAGAAATAAGTTCATAGAGATTAATGATTGTAATAGTGGTTTATATAATATAATACAATGTGCTGAAAATGTGTCTCCTCATAATTGTTAAACCATTAAAGTTATAAAGCCTAAACACATTAGCAATATTATTATATTACAAACAATAGCCGTTGATTTGCTTGTTATAGGGTCCTCGCATTTAGGTGGCTCAGAAATTTGATCATGTTTCACTGTACTGATCCATTCATCAACGGTAGTTTCCAAAATGCCTAGAGGCATTGCACCATTCCTTAAGACTGTGTAATGAAAATCTGCAAGGTTGAACTTATCTCCTGCAAAATAAGACAGTTAGAAATGACGTCTAGTTAGTGTTCTGTCAATAATTGCGTTATTTTAGCTGAATAAGAAGCGTGTACATAGTGATGAATAATATCTTTCTCAAAAGCGATCATTGGCTATAAAAGTAAAATTATTCTAAATTAAATTCAGAGATCTATACGTTATTTTTAGTTAAAAAATAATAAATATAATTCAAGAGATATTCTTATTATCGATGAGTATTCAAAAATATTTATATTCATAAAGATCATGTACGAATTGTGATTTAAAAAGTCTTATTCACAAAACCAGTACCTAGTGCATCAGATGCTTTCTTTCTTAACTCTTTTATTTTCAATTCTCCTATTTTATACCCACAAGCCTGGCCTGGCCACGTCGCATACCGATCAATTTCAATAGCAGCCGAGTCAGCAGTCTCGGCAGTATAATTAAGCATGTAGTTGATTGCCCTTTCCCGTGTCCAACTGAAAAAGAATAAAGAAATCGATTGAGTGTACTAACAAAATAATTCATGATTCGCTTTGTGATCCAAAAATAAGTTTCTAAACGACTTAAGCTCCAAATATTTGATATTAAGTAGAAGAAAATACAGTATTGCGAATATCTGAAACGTACCTGCGCTTTTTATGAATAGTTTAAAAATGTTAAGATGCTCTTCTGTTGAATGCAAGCGATTTCATAATTGATTTTTTCTTTTTATCAACAATGACAATTAAAAGAAAAGTCACAAAATATTTGTGACGCCACGTTGTTAACCGAACATGTACAAGACAGGTTCTTGTAAGTATCTTACTGTTTTATGTTAAGATAATAGGAAAACGCAGATGATTATTTGGATTGCGTAAATCTTTACTCACTTGTAATAGTGTATCCCAGAATCAATCACAAGTCTTGTAGCCCTCAACATTTCGTCACTATATCTACCAAGCCTATAAACAAATTAGACCAATAATATTGATTTATAAACAGTTTTATGGAAAGATTTTTTGACTGCTACTAATGAAGATAGCTATATATAGGTTGTTTGGTTTACTTTCACGGAATTGGTGCCATTAATAGAAGAAAAGGGGAGCGGTGGCCTAGTGGTTAAGGTGTCTGCCTCTCAACCCAGAGATCATGGGTTCGAGCCCTACTCGGGTCACGACCATGTTTCTCCATATGACACCAGTACTGGTTGGTTCCAGGAAGCGGACTCGAAAGTGATTAATATAAGTTGCAAGAACTTGTTTCGCAATCGATCTTAAATAAATATGTTTAAACTAATAGAAGAAACCGACAAAAGTTATAACAATGTCGTAACTATCATCCATAGCCCGAAACTAAAAAAATCTTAAAGCTGTAAAATTCTTACATTTCGTAGTCGTCTTCATATATCCCCATCTCCTCACCAAGAAACTCAGCATATAATGCCCAGCCCTGAAATAAATGTGATAAAGCTTTTTGTATATTATTGGCATTTATGGGAATGGTAAGGTTAGCTTTATGACATTGTTATACCTTAACAAACCTTGTTATAGGATGTTTGCATCTTTTTATAATAACAATAGGTTGAAATGAATTGAATTAAGACAGGGAATCTGAGGAAACGAAGAATGTATACCACATACAAGTGTCAGGAGACAGTTTTAAAAAAAACAGGCAATGAAGCCTATTGGGTACTATAATATGACTTTATTACACATTTTTTAATACAATACTACACGTATATTTATATTGGACGGGTACACAGCTGTAAACCTATATTGGACGAGGAGGTAACCTTACCATTCCCATAAAAGAAGAAGAAATTTGTGAAAAATATCTTTCTTCTATTCAGTTTCTATTCATTTACGCCTAATTATTTATAAATCTTTTTGTTTAAGATGAACTTATGCGTATAGTGTAACATTCAATTTTATGTAAAAGTCCTTTTTATTTCTAACAATATTAACATTGCCAAGTGCAAGCGATAAATAAATTAATACAACAAAAATAATTCGAAACTCGTACCTCAGCAAACGCATTATAGAATGGGAAGAAATATGGGACATTATAACTTATCCATTCAAAATGTTTTCTAAACTCCGGTACGTCTGACAGAATACCATAACTTTCCTGAAAATCAAAAGTTACACCAATCAGAAATAATTTACATCTTAAAGTACTCAATTTATAATAATTCTTGGTTAACTCAGCAACACTTGTCGACCCTGACCAGTTTTTCAACATATACTGAAAAGGAGTTTGGAAAAAGATTTCGTGTCATGCAATGTGGAATACAAATGAGTAATACCAATTTTAGTAATGATATATAAAATCTTTCCATTTTGAAATAATGACAGGTACAATTGACGCAAATATTTCACCTGTATTTAAAAAAAAAGTGTTAACTATTGTGTAGAATGTGACTACAGATGAAACAAGAATTTTTCAAGCAATAGTTAAACCGTAGGCATGACAAATATTGCACCTGTCTATTCAGGGCAACGCATAAAGGTTTATTTTGTTCTATAAATCATTATTGAATATACTTGTCTTTAAAGAGTAGAAAGTCATAACTTATCAAACTGGTGTTCTTTTATTCAAAATATCGCAAATTCCATCTATAATGCGACATATTACGTAATACATGTAGTTATAAGATGTCTAGTCTTTAGTCTGCGACTGACTTTACTTCCTGATAACTTACTGCAAGGTGATGACCAGGTATAGCTTCATGTAGACTTAACGAAACCATCTTATAAGTAGGGCTGAAATCAAAATAAGAACGTAAGTGTTAGCAAAATATTATCAACCATCCTTTCCTTTTCAAATAAGAATTTATTACTGTAAACATTGAAGAAAAGTAGATCTTGACAATTCTTATCTTATCAAAGAGACATTACCTTATGACAGTGAAATTGATTGTCTGTTTTAAAAAATCATACGCTATTAATGAAAAAGTTAGTTTGTTCCGTAATTTATTTTCGTAATAAAATTAATTTGTAATGTGCAAAAAAAAAAAAGAATCAAACATCGGCTGTCGTCACAGACAGGACTATTTAGCTCTAGGGTTACTGTTTAGAGAAAACTCGAAAGAGCCTTGTCACCACCGTTAATAGTTATCCCCGAGCTAAATATTCCAGTCTGAACCGGCAGTCGGTGTAAGATTCTTATATTTTACTTTAGTGCGCCATGATTTAAGCACTTAAATGGATCATTTATTGTTAAACGTTCGTTATTTTACATACCATGATATTATTAACAAAATATAATAAGGATTTTTATGGAATTATATACAATCTTACACTTGATCTTTGATACAATAAGTTTCAAGTTTTTGTTCCAAGGCATGTGCCAAAGAAATAATGTAATACCTTAATATTATAAAACAACCTTGAAGAATAAAAACTTACTTATATTCGGGTTTATGGACGTTAGCATAGAATATACCCGGTCTGGATCCATCTGCCGTACCAGTCCAGTATTCACCTCCTACACCATCTGATGCTGATGCTCGGACTCTACAAATGATAGTCAAACGCATTCAAACGCAATTCAAGCAATGGTTAAACATGGAAAAAATGAAAAAGTATACAAATCATTGAAATGTGATCTTCAAAAGTATCCAAAGTAGCAGAAATTTAAATGCTATGGCATTTGGAGATTAAATTAGATTAAAATTTATATTAATTCTGTTCTGTTGACAATTTATGTCTTTTCTGGATAAACATGTCCATAATCTGATAAAAATAGATAAAGAAAAAGTACAGAAATGTTTATTCCTTGATTTAATGTTATTTTTACATCAAATTAGAAAACCCGGGTAATGGATGAAACTTTTCATTACACTGGAAAATTGTATAGAAATAACGAATTAATAAGAATTTACTCGAGTGGTAGGTTTGGAGGATTGCTTATGTATTTTGAAATCTTTGGCTGTATTCTGTCGTAAATGATGCTCTTAAACCGAGCTAAAGTCTCTTCCTGAAAAACGAAAAGCAAAAGATTACTTGCATATTCCATTACTGTATAGCTGGATTAAAACTTCTTTTAATGTGTTGCATTACATAAATACTTTAAATAGATGTGAGAAGTGAAAAATTAAGTTAATATAAAATGTACATTCTTATGTAATGTTAAGATTGTATCGGGTATGCAATATTGCAATACTATCATTGATTGTAATATAAAGACAGACAAATTTAGATGGCTCGATCTCTATAGAAGAATCTGGGGTATACATACAGATGTATTCAACAGAAATCTCGTATCTTTAGTAATATTTTGGTACATTTCTGGAATAGTTGTTGTGCTTGGGAATCCAATATTATTCATTCTCTGAAAAACAACGGCGAAAGTATTAAATCAAATTAATTTTCGAAAGTGTAAATTATTTTCTAGAAGAGTAATTATTGTATTTGGTATAATACAAGTGTAAGACTGCTGCCTTTATCATTGATATAGATTTATACTTCAAAAGGTCAAAAAACTTGTCGATAATAGTTTACAACAAATGCATAAGTATTAAGAGCAATATCGTATAGTAGAACATGTCTTTAGTGTTCTGGTCATTCGGTATCAGTGGTGATTCCAACAAGTGTTGAAAATTTGTCTGCTCAAGCCGTTTCTAGGGGGCTTGGCGGATGTTAAGCTTTTTAATAATCCCTTATGTAGAGACTTAATCAAACCCAATCTGACATGTTGATGTTATTTTGTTTTGATTACATGTGCTATTCGCTTGCTACTAAACATTCTCCTTTTTGGGGTTTTAAATATTTAAATCCTATGCATATAAAATACATTACCTAATAGTACTAATAAAAAACACAGTTTGCCTTTTTTTCTATTTACAACATTATTAAACTTAATACTTGTACCGTTTTTTCCTGAACAAGCTTTTCTATTCTAGCGACCTCAGATAGACCTTTGTTATGAACATCTTCTGGGCTGATATCTATTGACGTATGAAATAGTAAGCATGCTTTGTAATTGTCTTTTCCGTTTGGTAATGACCCAATACCAAGTCCGCGTCTTGTTTTAGGCATATATTCCTAATAATGAAAAAAGTGATGATTATAAGTAATGATAGTATGCTCTGATTAGTACAATTGTGCTTATGTATGGTATGGAATTCCTTATTGAACTTCGTATTCTTTAACATTTACCCTGCTGGTTTTTCATACACCGGATTGTCCAGGATCAATTTTCTGAATTCTCCATTATCAGTTTTCGGGATAATAAGATCAAAGTTTTTAATTATTAAGCCATCAGTATAGAGCTCGGTCAGACTGCATGGATATGCAGACGGCCTGGCCGTATACTGGTGGTAGGGCAGGATGAAGGGTAAAGGTTCAAATACATAATTACGTAAACATAAAAACGCGAAAGGTGTTTTAAAAACTTATCTAAAGTAAATCAAGGGCACACATTTAGTCTAAGATGTTATGTAAGATTCGATACAATTAAGTTATTTGTTTTAACTGACAAGATATTTAAAAAAAACTAGTATATGAAACATACCACCCCTTGATTATAATGAATTTCATATAATTTATTATTAATTCAATGATAATTCCACTTTACATCTTGGTATAACTCAAACCTTTTTAATATAGTATAGCGACAAATTAGCGTTACTCACTTATACGTTTATCTTTCGAACACTCTTAAAATTAATAAGAAAATAGCCATTAAGACCCACTTGATATATATTAATATCGTGTATATTTACAATAGTTTAATATCTTAGAAATATCACTAAGTAGATCACAGTTTTTATTCTATTACTTACAGTTTCAATAAATGTTTTCACTTCGGTCAACTTATGCATAAATGCTATAATAGCATCCTTTATTCTTTCTTCTGCAATAGACCTGTCCAAAACATAGAAGAAGTAGACATTCTTAAAAAAGGAGAGGATATATGAAAAGGTTTATTTCCACTTTCTTTAAAAGTTATGCCTCTTCGTGCTTGTGTGGTTTATTTCTTTCAACAACAATAATTATTTTTGGAATGTGATAAATAGAATATTAAATCCGTGTAAGTTTAATACTTAATTTATTGAACTCGTTCAATAAATTAATATTATGCTCGCCAGAGACACGCATAATATAAATTTATTGAACTCGTTTAATTAATTCAGTATTAAACTTACACTCATTTAATATCCTCTATCCATACAACTTGTTGTACATAATACCACCATTGTCATAAGATATGAGGAGAACATTGATGATTGACCGAGTAATTGCCCCTGCCTTCGTTTATATTCATGATTAAAAAGGATTGTATCCCTTTCTTTGTGAAATTGGTAAAACATGTGTAACATGAACCGTTTCCATTATCTATTTTTGTATTTCAGCTGATTTTTTAGCGTAATAAATTGGAGAATAAATGATGTTAGTGCGCGAGTAGAAAAAGTTTGAAATTTCACTTGAAAGGGGATGTAATTCTTGTTATTAAAACAAGTCATACAATGTATGTGACCTCGTTTTTTACATATTGAGATTACAGATAGTACATACTAACATGCGAAAATTAAAACATATATAACAAAATAAAACTTAAACTTTTTTATATATCAAACTTTTGGCTAAAATAACGCTTAATATGTTGAAATGATAGATAACTACGATACTTTGTCCTAGTGTAAGTTGAAACTTGATTTCATAAAAATTCATGAACTCATATGTTCTGTCATAAAGTATATAATTCACTGTGACATATTATAAGGGTTTCTTGTATCAAAAAACAAATTATATCATTTTATTCTTACCTATATTTTGTGTCGGGGAAGACCTTTGAAATAGATTTATTCACTGGTTTATAGAGCTCTGATTGTACTGGATCTGTCTGTATCATGTTTGCAAGCTGTTTTGGAACCCTGGACTATATTTAGAATGTAAATAATACGTGTATATACAAAATGAAATACAGACTTTCGATAACATTGTATTAAAGATAATTTTATCGGACATTTATAGGATCGATTTCATATAATTATATTAAGATGTACTGTTGATATTAAAATGGTAAGGAAGCAACAAACGTGCTCATGTTGTAATATGAACACGAGCTGAGAGAGCTTTTGAAGTTGTGGGTGTTTTAACTATGCTTACTTTGCAAATTTTCATGAAAATCTGTTCCATTATTTATAGATTGCGACTTTTTCTGAAAGCAGATTTAATGCTTTAGATTATAAGAGCAAAATATAAACCCCTGGATAGTTACTTACAATTGAAGCATTGTGACTTGTATGACCATTAGCAATTGCCATTCTTGTAAGGTTCATCATCTCCTCTAACTAGGTAAGATAATGATAATAAGTATGCAAGTCAACCAAAAATGACATATAATTATAACTTTGTTTCGCTTAAAAGAACATTAAATTACCTTAAAAATATGTATGCTTCAAAATCATTTTGATAGTTAAACAGAAAAGTGGCATTTGCAATATAACTGTGTTCTAGTTCTTGGTGATACATATCAAAATTAATTATTTAAACTGTTTGAAATATAATAACATAAACAAAATATAAAAACATTTAAATAGATGTAGACATTACTTGTTTAGGTGCAAGCTCCAATCGTCTTGCATAATTCACAAAATCGCCTTGTGTATCGAACGGCGTTCCAGACAAAAACAAATCAAACCCTACAGTCCAACCCTCCAAAAAGTTAAAGGGGTTTAATGGCTCATAGCTGTAAAAAAAATAAAAGCTTAAAGAAATGAACACATTATGTTTTAAGTTACTCCTCCTTTATTGACTGGAACAATGTCAATGTCTTTATATTTTTTTATATATTTAAAATTAAAATTAAACATACCTATATTTATCTATTTTGATAAGGTGGGAGAGAACAAATAAATAGGTAAAATGTGAACGTACTACATGTATAAAAATTCAAAATGATGAAGATGGATGTTAAAAATATATAATTATGTGGAAGAAAACATTTATAGAGCTACTAACTCTTTCCATTTGTATCCAGCCAGGAAAACATCAAGCATGTCTTTCAGTATATCATAGGATATCTTTTTGTCATCTTGTAGTGTTGATTTATCAATGTTCGATAGACGGTCAAGAAAACCCTGTGCACCTACCTTAAATAGTTATTCCAAAGTGAAAACTAAATGATACCAATTGTAAATCAAAATTCAGATTTTAAGCATTTACCGAAGTTTAAAACTTATCAATATTCAAAATTAATGCTATTGGTACTAGAAATGACCGTACACGAAATTCGTCAGACGAACACCTTGAAATAAATGTATATATAGTATATTCTTCAATTTAAGTACAATATATTTACAAGAACTTGGAAATTGACTTTAATTATTTGCAATGCATGTTGCTTACACACATAAATTAATTGTTTCATACAGTAATAAAACCGGTCAGTAAAAATCAATCTAAAAAATGAAAGACAGATAAAGCTAGAATTTTGCCAAAACATCAGTATATTGTTAAGTCTATTGTATGTCTTATCGTCTTCGTTAACAATAGGCAAAACTAATTCAAATCCAAAATTGAAATACACAAAAGTAAAAAATATATTACCCTGTCAGTTTCAAATTTATCATACGCGTAGGAATTAAGCTGATCGTTGTACTTATACATTTGTAATGTTGTTGAAAATTCCGGTGAATTTTTCATCCGCCAACTCCAAAACTCACTCATTATCTTTTCTAAGCTATCTGAAACAAAAATAAATTGCATTTAATAGCACAAGAGTTATGTCGTTGGCACGTTATCCGACGCTAAATCTGTGCCACTGGTCATGAAAATACGGGTACTATAATTCCAATATTGATCTATATAGAAGGAAAGTATCTCAGTCCGACAGCGCAGCCTACTTTATGGCCTAAGAAAATCACACTGCCCTCCAGGTACCCTTCGACACCTGGTTGAAGTTACAAAGAAGGAAAATGGATGCATTTACTTTTGCTCACAGGCATTTGCCTCGTTCTTGGTTAGAATCAAATCGGTCCCGTTGATTTTGATGAGAGCGTTATTATCATAAAATTTCTGCTCATTACACTAGAAGATCTTATTTTAAAATAAAACGCAGTATATAAACTTGTTGTCGATGAATTAATTCTTGATAAATATTCATTAAAAGAACAACAAAGACTTTTGAGAAAATGTTTTACAAAATGAAAAAGAACAAAAATAGTGGAAGTAGTTTTTGGGGCTCAAATTCTAGGTAAACAGGTAAGACAAGTCAACCATATTGCATTTTTTGGTAATTACGCCCGTTAAATGCGCTCATTCTTGAGAAGTAACCTGCGGTTCTGTTGAAGGCACTGTCATCTTCACAGTTGAAAACATATACCAATAAACACAATCAAAGGATTGTGCATTTGACATGTACACTTGTAAATACTGAATGTATCAGATGAAAAAGATATTTTTGAATGAATTTTACAAGCATTATACACAAAAGATAATAAATATGATTTTACACTCATTGCAATTTTAATGAATCGCTTTATGAGCACTATGGAGCGTAACGATTTAATGCGCTAGCAGACGACAGTCAATGGTTAATATTATTGGTGGTCCGCCATTTTTAGCTTACAGGGCGTCGCCACATTGTCTTGCAGACGACAATTTTAGCGTTTTTTACCACCATTGTTAACAGGTCAGCAGTGAGGGTCTTCGCGACAGTTGACGATTTGATTTATTTTGATTAACCGTCATCTATTGTTTTCGCCAAACGCTTTACTGGTATGTTTAAAAAGCGTATTAGACGATATTACTTTAATTAGATTTTAACACCGACAGTATATTGAAGGAGTCGTCGTTTTACTCTGATAGTCCGCTAAAATAATATTTCCAATCATTGAATAAGCAAGCAAGTTTAAACCCGTTTTACATTTTGAGATATTTAACCTTATTACATCACTTGAGCTGTCGACATCGAAAGATACACATCGGTACACTATTATTATACTGTATTTTAATACCGATAAAACGATTAAGTTTTAACAAAGAAAGTCTGCTTGTATTGAAAAGGTAAACCATTTCACAATTTTTACACTGATCAACTATTTATTGCCAAATCAGACAGTACTGTTTATTGGATTCATTTTTCAGGATAGTCAACATTAATAATAAATACTACACTGGCAGCTGGAGTGGAACATTAACCTACTGTACTTTCAATGGGTTTAAGTTTAAACAGCAGACGATAAGGTGATTGAGTTTAAGAATTAAAACAAGCCTGTGTCTATATTAACATTATTTTACAAATTACGATATAGCTTAACAACACGCTACACTTTATGTTCATATAAGACAACATTTATTAAGTAAACAGCACAATTAACCCATATCACTAGCATTAATCCAGCAGTTTAATGTAAGCGGATAATATTTCCATTTCACAAAATATTGTTTATTACGTCCTTTGCGACAGCTTTTTAAAACTTTCTCCACATTCCACTTTTGATCAGCATTAATGTTTCGGAGTTCAATTTGATAGAAAGTTCCTTTAACGTTCTCGTCTTGTATATCTCGAATTCTATAGACAGGCAGTGTGCCTCGGTGATAGCGTTTGTTTACTTTAAACACTTCGCCGGAGTATGTTTGGTTGTACGCTCGAGTAAACACGTCTTTCAGGTGACTGATTCGAACGTAGTCGCCAATTTTGAATTTAAACGGTTTAAGTTCGCCTTTCCATATTTAGAGTTTTGCGCCAAATATGTGGCTAATCTCACTTCCTCCTGATTGATTTCTTTGACATCAGCGGGTCTCATTCCGATAATTCTATGGTACGTGTGGTTATGATTGTCAGCGATCTCTTTGTAAAACCGGTAAAAAAGAGTCTGTATCCTTGTACGATAAATAACGCATAAGTCGGGCCTTTATAGTTAAAATGGCCTTCTCAGATGTTGAAGCCTTTAATTTGGGTGGGAAAGTAATGGATTTCCTCTTTCTTCATGAGGGTTTGCACTTCTCTGGCTCTAAACCCCTGACCTGGAAATAAAATTGTTGGTGTAGTATATATTAGGACTAATAGACCGAACATTTAATTACAGAAAAAATACAAAAACTAAACAGTAAAATAACAACTTATTTAAAGGAACTCCATCAACATACCTTTTATCAGTAATCACTTTAGCAGGTAATCGGTTTGTAGTGTCGAATATTTTCTGGAAAGCTTTTGCCACCTCTTCGCCAGTTTTATTTTGTAATGGCTGCAACCACACATCAATGAGGATGTATCTATGACCAGAAGGATGTACTTGTAATCTTACTTCCAGTCGGCGAAATCGTTCATATCAATTAAATCAGCCATCCATAAATCGTCTTTACCGGTGTTTATCACTTGATTTCTTTGAAACCGTCTTCTCACTGGTTTATGTAGGCTGTAGGGGGTTCTTGAATTTTCGTATTTTATGCATACCGATGTTAATTTTCTCTCCACTTTATACAGTTTCTGTGGTCCAGCAAAACCCACAGCATACTTAGGTTCATAATATGTCTTTAAATATTCCTGCCACGGAGCCATGTTTACTGATAAGTGTCCAAAGTAAAAATGAAGATTAGTCACAGGGTAAAGTCTACTGCATTTTCTTCTTCACTTTCTGCCTCATCACTTTCCTCCTCTTCATTATCACTTAATTCAGTTTCAAATAAATCTTCAAACTCAATCTTATATTTTCTCAATACTTTATATTTTTTGTTTTCTTTCCCCATATATTACAACAAAAATCAAAAATAGGAAGAAGATATTCATTATAAAAAGCATGCGAGATTCCTTATTTAAAAAGTACTTTATACGCCAAAACAAATTAACTTTAGAGTTCAATTTTTTTTTACACACATCATTTACCTGACAATGCCAATTGAGTGTATCTTCAACATAAATACCAAGCAGTTTTTGTGATACATTGTCAAGAGTTGAGTCCTTAATTTTCAAATTTAATGCTTTTGCAATTTTTAGCTTTTGTCTTCTACCTACTAGCATACTTTAAGATTGTTTAGAGTGCAAAAGCATATTATTCAATTTAACACCACTTAAAGGGAAGCGGTGGCCTAGTGGTTAAGGTGTCTGCCTCTCAACTAAGAGATCATGGGTTCGAGCCCTACTCGGGTCACGACCATGTTTCTCCATATGACACCAGTACTGGTTGGTTCCAGGAAGCGGACTCGAAAGTGATTAATATAAGTTGCAAGAACTTGTTTCGCAATCGAGCTTAAATAAATATGTTTAAACCAACACCACTTAATAATCATATTAAGGCTATATTGTAGTTTTTCCTCTATAACTGATTTGTCATCTCCACATTTATGCAACGTGGAATCATCAGTATATTTAGAGTTATTGCTAATAGTACCAGAGATAGGGACCATTTATTTCAAATGCGTGTCTAAAAGAATAATTAGATTCATTTGAAAGCAAAGTTTCTATAGATTTCAAAAATCCATTTCTTAAAAAAATATCCTCTTTTACAATCACAGGAAATCCAAGATGGCACTAAAATTTTAAGAAATCACCCTGTATATTAAAATTTATTTTTTTGAGTGTATATTTTGATATTTCATATTGTTTTATTACTGCAAAAAATGAAATGCATATCCCTCCACATGAATTTTGGACACGAATTTGAAATAAATGGCCCATATCTCTGATACTATAACAATTAAAACAAGATTGCATTTGAGAAAAATGCTATGCCACCGCATGGTTCAAATTTCATAGCTGTACATCAAAGGACAAGAAAGTAGGTCACATCCTCAAAATCTAGGTCAAAGTTCAATTTTACAACTAAAACTGTGCACATGGTCAAAATGTCATTGCTGTACATCAAAGGACAAGAAAGTAGGTCACTGTCTCCTTGGACAAGGCATAATTTTGACCCAAGGGTTTAATAACAATCTTGATACAGGTCCAACAAACAACATTTCAAGTCAAATATGTAAGCTATAGCTTTCTCCCATTCAGAAAACATTTGTTTTATTTTCTGTCTTTAATACGTGTACATAATGAGAATCACCGCCCCCGGGCAGGGCCAATTTTTGACATTTGAACAACTTTGGTAGAGGACCTATAGATGATATTATATATCAAACATCAAAGCTCAATGCCTTGAACCTTCAGACAAAAATATATTTTTTTTTCACTATATGTACATAATGAAAATCAATGGCCCCCGGGGCGGAACCAATTTTGACCCCAGGGCTATAAATTGAACAATCTTGCTAGAGGTTCACTACACAATGTTTCATGCAAAATATCTTAACTCTATCCTTTGTAAATTTAGAGAAGATGATTTTTTAAGTTTTAACTATATACATATAAGATAAACCTATGGCTCCCAGGGGCGGGGCTAATTTTGACACAAGAGGCAAAATTTGAACAACTTTGGTAGAGTACCTTTAGATGATATTATTTAACAAATATTAAAGCTCTAAGCCTTGTACCTTCAGACAATAAGATTTTTTTATTTTTTACTATATGTATATATTGAAATCAATGACCCCCAGGGCGGGGGCAATTTTGACCCCAGGGCTATAATTTGAACAATCTTGCTAGAGGTTTACAACACAATGTTTTATGCAAAATATCTAACCTCTAGCATTTGTCAATTGCTAGAAGAATTTTTTTAAGTTTTTACTATATACATATAAGGAAAACCAATGACACCTGGGGCGGGGCCGATTTTGACCCCAGGGCTATAATTTGAACAATCTGGGTAGAGGTCTACCAGACAATGCCTTATGCAAAATATCTAAGCTCTAGGCCTTTTGGGTCTTTACAAGAAGGTGTTTGAAGTTTTTACTATATGTACATATAGTGAAAATCAATGACCCCAGGGCGGGACCGATTTTGACCCAAGGGCTATAATTTGAACAATCTTGGTAAGGGTCTACCAGATGATGCCTTATGCAAAATATCTAAGCTCTAGGCCTTTTGGGTTTTTACAAGAAGGTATTTAAAGTTTTTACTATATGTACATAGTGAAAATCAATGACCCCCGGGGCGGGGCCAATTTTGACCCCAGGGCTATAATTTGAACAATCTTGTTAGAGGTCTACCAGACAATGCCTTATGCAAAATATCTAAGCTCTAGGCCTTTTGGGTTTTTACAAGAAGGTATTTAAAGTTTTTACTATATGTACATAGTGAAAATCAATGACCCCCGGGGCGGGGCCAATTTTGACCCCAGGGCTATAATTTGAACAATCTTGTTAGAGGTCTACTACAAAAAAGCCTTTTGCAAAATATCTATGCTCTAGGCCTAGTGGGTCTTTCAAGAAGATGTTTTAAATTCATTTTTGTAATTCCTTTTGGCAATCAGATTTCTGCATGAAATCAAATTCTTTGAAAAAACTTCGCAGGCCCTTCACCCAAGAAACAATCCTGCCAAGTTTGGTTGAAATTGGACTAGTAGTTTTTCACAAGAAGATTTTTTAAGTTCACTATATAATCTATATAACACACACACACACACACACACACACACACACACACACACACACACACACACACACACACACACACACACACGCACGCACGCACGCACGCACGCACACACACACACACACACACACACACAAACACATAGGTGAATCGCTATATGCCACCGCATCGCAGATGCTGCGGTGGCATAAAAAAACAAAGCCTTTGCTTTACATTACGTTATTGTTAAAATGGCACAAATCATTCAAAGAACAGTCAGTTGATTACGCAAAAAATGTTTTATGATAATGCTGTTTTGTCGATATATAGAAAGGAACAAAATACAAAAAGGATATCATGGGATGAAATAGATGACGTAAGATTTTTGTTTTACCAGCTTCTGTGTTTACTTCAACAATCCATTCATCAATTAGACGCTCAAGAACAGACAAAGGAATAGCACCATTGTCTAAGACCACAGAATGAAAGTCTCTTATATCAAATTTTGGTCCTGGAAAGAAAACAGAAAATATCTATTATATTATTGCCTTATCTTAAAATGACAGTATATTCATTTTTTTTCGTTGACAAGTTTAGTTAAATGAGTAATATATTTCTAAAGATTGACTAATCTAATAGTGATTGACAAATGGTTGATAAAGAAATTATTTTATGATAAAATATCACAACGACCTAAATTATAAAAGGACTGCTCCACTTGTTAAAAGAATTGTACAGTCACTACTTGCCGATAAATTAAGAATTAATTTTATAGAAATTTCTGTTGGTTACGTGGATTTTTCATTTTCGTTTCATATAAAAAAGATGAACACAATTATGGCAAAATGTCAAGTTAATTTGATTTTTATCTGTTCGCTGACCATATACACCTTGACGGGCATTATTTGGTGACAATTTCAGTGTCTTTGTTTATTTCCTAATAAATCTATTAAATATTCACCTTTTGAAATCATATATCAGATATTCCAGTTTTGTTCAGGAAAAATCTGCCATTTCTAGTTTCGTGCAACTTTTGTCCTTTTACTATGTTATATAGACTTTATCAGATGTAATAAAATATAAATAAATTTTTTGTCTTGATGTTTCTAACTGCTTTAGTTAAAACTTAAAAGTGATATAAAGCTACAAATAAAAGCCAAACTGAAGTTACCTAATGCATCCATCGCTTTTTGTCTCAATTCTTTAATTTTCAGTTCTCCGATCTTGTAGGCTGTTGCTTGACCAGGCCATGTTATATAACGGTTAATTTCTATCTCTATTGAGGAGCGGGAAAATGACGTGTAATTCAACATGTACTCTATAGCTCTGTCCCTGCTCCAGCTAAACAGTAAACAATGCACAAAATATTATAAACAAGATCAACAAGGAAAGGCGGCGTTCAATGAACGCACCCCTACACTAACCAGCCACAAGAACCTGTGGCAAGGAGCCCAAACAAGTGGTCAAACTTGAAGAGAAACGTTATTAAGGTGTAATAGTTTGAAGTATCAGTATTCAGTGATAATCTATACTGTTCGAGTACAATTAATACAGTAAGGGCATTGTATCAATTTTATTAGAATAGTTCTTTTATTTTGATGATACAGAGGACATTTATGTAAAATTTAATAGTGGCAGAAACCCTATTTCTGTATAAAGTTGCTGTGTAATGTGATACAATTGATAATATCTGGATACTGCATTTATAGAAGAGAGGATGAAACCATGATTTACTATTTCGATGTTCAGAAACTTAAACGAGCATTGGTAGAGGATAGGGCATAGATAATTCATTATTTGTTAAAAACCCAGACTTACTTATAGTAATGGAGCCCTGTGTCTACTACTAGACGACACGCCCGGAAAATCTCAAAACTGTAGCGTCCCATCCTGACAAAAGCAACATTATAATGAAAATAAATATATCAATATAAATTAAGGCAAAATGGAAATAATAAACGTTACTATCTTTTTACAGAATGTTTTTTTATTGGCTATTGGTTATTGCTATGGCCTTAAATCTCACAAAGGACTTTGAATTATGTAACTTTAAATGGAAGGTATACGGTTGTACTCGGATGCCCACTCATATTTAGGTCACCGGTAAAGCTGTGAAGTCACTATATTTCTCATACCAGCTCAGGTAACGTCTTAAACTGATCAATCCCCACTGTCTAAACTATAGAAAGCAGCAGTCACAATGACCAAAAGTAGGCTAAGTTGGAAAGATTTTGTTTGCTTTTTTGTTTTTAAGACGATTCAACACATTGTTTTGTCACATCCACGTAACATGCTTTCCCGGGTAACAAACTAGCAGTTATTGATTTCTCATTAAATGGCCGGATACTGAATTTATATAATTTCAGAATCGGCGGTGTGAGACAAATAGATGTTACTGGGCGGGACACCAGCTGCTTGTTTGAACATATAGAATATGAAAAAAATTCTTACATTTCATAATCATCTTTGTAAATGTCAAGCTGATCTTTTTCTCCCAAAGACTCTGCATATAATCCCCAGCCCTATGTAAAATGTAAACTATCATTCACAAGCTATTCAGTCGTTAAAATTTCTGAATATATAAGAACGGCTCAAAAAAGAAAGTAAGAAAAACAGAAGAAATCTTAATAGACCGTAACCATAGGCATTATTACCAAAACAGGACCAAATAACAGATTTCCTATCCTATTATAGATAGCGAAATAATATTATTTACACAGAAAGAACAAAAATTACCTCCATCGACATTACATAATTGAGAATTTATTTCAGAAATAATTTTAAAGTTGAAAATAAGTCAACGTGAGGAAAAGGATAAAAAACGCCAACAAAGTCAATTTTGCACAATTTTTAACAAAGTTTATGTATATGTGAAGCATTTACCTCAGTGAACGATGTGTAAAAGGGAAAATGGTAGGGAACAGAGAAATACTTGGTGTAGTCGATCACTTTCTGAAAAGTAGGTGTCCCGACAGAATGCTGGGCATATATATCCTGAAATGACGATGCATATGATTTGAACAACATGAATGAATGATGACTAAATTTGTTCTGTACCGAGTTTTGATTTTCTTAAAGAGTCGCTTTGTGGTAGCAGTACCTTAGTGTCAAGAAGTGATACAATTGAAAAACGGCGAATCAGAAAAAGTAATTTAACGTAAATGTGATCCAAACCTCCCTTTTAGAGTTATAGAGGACGAATTGCAACAAACATAGTGAAGCTTAACAAATATTTGAGGTCAAACGCGGGATCCTTGGTTTTGTAATCAGACAGTTTAATTAACAGAATACCGAGCTCTCCCGGACTAGCATGCTTTATATATTGCATTACAAGGTAACAAGAGCATAAAAAACAGAAATAGAAACCTGTAAATGATGACCAGGATCTGCTTCGTGCAAAGCTAATGCCACCATGTTGTAAGTTGGGCTGTAAATAAAGTCTACATGATAAAGCTTTACAATCTTATGATAAATATTTGTTGTTTTTCTTTTTAATTGGAGTTCTTATGATATAGCATTGTTTTATTATTGTCAAAGCAAATATAATGATTAATTTATTAATATAAAACACTTAATGTGCATGTAGGCATTCTGGAAACACTTATTGTTGAAGACAACAAGAAACTAGTTGATGCTATTAATCTTAAATGTAAAGTGCTTAAACGTCTAAACGTACTTATCTTTTGGTCGTCGTACATTAGCATAAAATACTCCAGGTCTGGAACCATCTGGTGAGCCAAATGAATACGTTCCTCCTGGACCATCGTATGGCATTTCTTTCACACTACAACACATCAAGTAGTAATGACAAGAACGTTTTCAAATGCTTACGTCAAATATTATATTATGTACAGAATTATGCTTCTAAATTTTTTTTTATAAACATCGAAGAATATGTGAAATATGTACAGCAAATATTTTTCCACATTATATGTAATCATTAATATATATGCATTCATTTTTTATTGAAAATTTGACTTAGATTATAGACAATAAATTTCTAATTACCTCCCTTTATTGAAATGTAAATTCGGTAATATCTTTACAAATAATGCTTTTTGGAACTTACAATATTAATAAATCTTCATTTGAGCATTATACGTATTTGTGATATAAGACCATAAAAATTTGTGCGTCTGGATCTTTAAACAAATTCTTATTCCTAGTTAATTGCCAAATTAGTTAAAAACTCTAAAAGGTATTTATTGAGAAGTAGGTTTAAAAGACCATACACATCCCTTCAAAGGTAATATAATAGTTCCTTACAGTAAGTACGGATAAAACAGTATACTTACACAATCGGACTATCCGGAATATTCTTAAAGAGTAAAGGAAGTTTAGGTTTTATTCTATCGTTGATGATAAATGTAAATCGTTTCAGGGTCTCGTCCTGGAAGTAGAAAAACACATACATTAATCGTATGTAATGAATTCAAAATATGCAATAAGTAAATAAAAAAAAAATTAAATAATATGTAATGAATGAATATATAATATGTAATAAATAAATAAAAAATATGTAATAAAAATAAATTATATATAATTAAAATAAATAAATGATTATGTAATAGAGACTCTTATAATTGCATTTTTGTTAAAAACTTCTTTGCCTACTTTCCGACTAAGAAATGTAATGTAAACAGAAAAAAATTATTAAATTTTATTTTGTCTCATCTGACCCTTATCATATTATTTATTCAGATACCAAATATAATTTTAAGATTCCTTAAGAAAATGATAATGTCACAATTCCAAACGTCTTTTGATTGTTTATTGTGATTACAAAAACTACTTTCAAATATGTGAAAAAAAACTTAAGTAATAAACATTTACTAATTATAATACTGACACTGCAAGATCTTTCAAATCTACTCGAATGAGATTTGAATGCTCTCAAACTATGCAATGACTAGATTAAGCGTAAAATGGAGCATGGATGTGGTACAAGACAACTTACCGGTGAATCAATGATAAATCTAGAGTCATTGCTCAACTTCTCGAAAAACCCTTTGATGCTGCCAGTATAATTGAGACCAGTCATAACCTAATAATGTAAATTAAGACAATTTTATGTCTGCAAAGAAATGATAAGATTCAGGTACACACTAAAATGCGTTATGTATGTAGTATATGTGTAACGAGGGTCCATTTGTCCGGTTAAGGCACACAAATCTAAAATTATTATCATGTTTATATTAAAGATATACTATGCTCATCTTTGAGTAAAATAGTTTTATTGCAGAAATTTATTGAAAAGTATAAACAATTTTCTGTCTTCTTTTTAAAATAAAAGAAGGTACAGACTCTGTATGGAAATCTGAATTCCATATTACGGGTCAAGTAAAGCTTGTCCGTTCAATAAAAAAAACTGCTTTTTTAATGACACTAGACATATATATTCATAGTGTGTCGATTTAAACGCGCAGTGTGTAGGGATAAAAGCATAACATATCTACTTTGTGTTAAGTGGAAACATTATTTATTTCATATTTACAGAAAAAAGTGTAGCCATAATCAATATATTCAAATATCAAATTTGATCATAATATATATTTTAAACTGCTATATTGAAGTTTGAATCGATTCAGGATTTATTCACCAAAACAGTGTCATAAACATTATGAAATGCAAATTTGACTTTTTATATCATACAAAACAGCTGATATATAAGACATGTTAAAAAAGGAATGAACAAACATTAAGATAATAAACAACCTTCTACAAGTGGAAAACAATAACTTATTATGCAAAACCTGTACCTTAACCTGTACCTAAATCTGAATCACTTACTTTATTTTACCCTCAAATTTGTGGGTTTTGGTTTAAAACTTTTATCTCAAACCCTTTTAAAATTTGTACCCCGGGGAAATTTTAAAAAAAGTGAAAAAATTCCCCTCCCCGCCCCTTTGCACCCGGCCTTAAGCGATATACAAAGGGAAATTTAAATTTGCTTTTCGAAGGACCGGGAAAAATATAAAAATTTACTAAACACAACTCTACTTGACCAAATTCTGCACTTTCAAAACTTTTTTCATAGCAATACAGCCAATGAAAATGATTGTACAGCATTTAATTTAATGCCCAGCAACGGATTATGAATATAATAAAAACAAGATACGTCAGCACACTATTACCTGCTGCATCTCTTTGTTGATTCGTGCCACCTCCTGAAGTCCTTTCTGGTGTATTTCTTCGGGGCTGATGTCTATAGAGAGATGCCATTTTAAACATGCCTTATAATACTCTACTCCGTTAGGCAAGGAATTAACACCATACCCATTCCTTGTCGCATTCTTGTACTCCTGAAAAAAAGAAGATATTTTCAGTTATAGTTGATTTTAGTGGTTTGGCTTAAACATATTTATTTAAGCTCGACTGCGAAAAATATTCTTGCAACTAAATCACTTTCGAGTCCGCTTCCTGGAACCAACCAGTACTGTTGTCATGTGAGAAAACATGGTCGTGACCCGATTAGGGCTCGAACCCGTGAACCCTGGGTTGAGAGGCAGACACCTTTACCACTACGCAATCACTCCCTTTAAATGCGATTTAGTTTGTTTCAGTGTTCGTTTTAAAAAAGAACAACGATAGTAATTCATCATCACCATCACCATTACTACTGTTATCATCGTCAATGTCATCAATATCATCAACATCATCTCCTTTAACGCTATTATCATAATCATTATCATGATTAATTAACATCATGATCAACATCACCATGATTAATATTAATCATAATAGTCATCATTACTACCAACATTATCAGAACCATTTATCGTCAATCGTAGATCAATTTCATTTAGCATGAAACCTTTTATAGATCCATCCAAATGCGCCGATTATCATTATCTGTATGTACATCACTGATAGTACCTCATTCAGCATACAGTTTGCGTATCTACCAACACTGGCAAATCGCAAGGTTTGGAAATTAAATGCATTTACTCTAATATATTATTTTCCTTTTCAATGCATACATAGCAATGACACGTTGTAGAAAACCGTAACATATAGTTTCAGCAAAAAGTATTCAATATAAGCTCATTATTTCGCTTACAAATGTTTTACTTCTAAAATACTTACCTCTAAAATAAATCTGTGTAGTGTTTTAAAACTTTCACGGAATGACGGCATGGTTAAATTAGCAGTTTGTTTAAGAGCGGTCCTGAAAATATATAGCCATTTTACCAACATTTAGATACTGGTATGAATTATAACTTATTGTTTGATTATCTATAGGCGTATTCAATGTATGAATGAGCCAAAAAAGACATAATCTAAACAAACTGTAAGACATTTCGCAATCGTGGTATCAAACGATAAAAGCCTAGTAGTACATAACGTTTAATGGACAGAAATGTCAATGCAATGTGATATTAACTTCACATATAATTATTTTTGGCATGTATTACAACTTCAGCAGTAATCAAAAAGGTATTATATTGAAACTGCAAGTGAAATAAATACATCATACATTGGGTTGTGTTGATCACTTAAAGAGAACCAGCCATTGTAATCGAATTGTAATTAATTTGAAAGTTGGAATCGAAGATATTTTAGCGTTATAGCTGTATTTACTGAAGGGGTGCAGTCAAACAACTCTTTGCATTGGCCTACCGATGGATTCAGTACGCAGGGAAGTAAGTTTTTTAATCAAATTAAAAGGGTTCATATCTGATACATACTTGTTAGCTTCTGGAAGGTTTGTATTTTCCAGAGTTTCATTCAATGGTTCATACATTGGACTGTCCATGACACTTGAGCCTACAAGCTTATCTATTGAATTAAGAGTACCGTCCTGTCAAGATATAAAAAAAAACGCAAAGGAACAAATGAACATGATGCAATACTATGTGTCATACGGACATTAAACAAAATCTTGAGTTATCAAAAGTTTTCTCTTCAATTGTTTGAATAAGATTTAATAAAAAAAAAGTTTATAATTCTTCTAATATTTCGATATAAAGGCTTGTAGTCTGTAAAAAATAATCGTATATATATCAACCTTTAATACTTGCATATAAAATAGTTTTACTATCAGAAATTAATATTCAAAACTTGTTTTTATTTTTAAAAGAAGGATGTCGGATGATTATTTTAAAAAAGCCGTTGCTAATTTGATGCAACCGGTGTGACAGTTCTGTAAACAAATACAATAGATTACAAGAAACTCGATCAGCAAAACACACATGATTTCGATTGCCTTCTTTTCAAATGATACTTACCATTGATACCCAGTGATTGGTTGTTCCGTTATCAATGGCTATGCGCATGCGCTTTATATAGTTTAATGCCTGAAAGACAATGTATATCATTATTGAATTATCAAAATTACTAGCTCTAATATAATCTTGTCAGACAAACTAGTTAAATTTGAAACTGATTTGAACTGAAAAGATATGATGTATGTTATCCAACCAAGAGGTATGCATAAAACATTGTTGACATGACCATAAAGAAATAATAATGTAAATTTCTTAACACCTATACTGGAGTTATTAACACATTATTTAACTGTATAAATCAACGTATATTAAGTTGAACTAGTATTCGAATTAAACGTTTTTCACCTGATCACCCCAGCCATATATCCTCATAATGTAGTTGTAAAACTCATCATATGTCTTCGGGTTGGTCGGCGCAGCAGACGCGGATCCGTCCAAAGTCCTTCAAGAAAAGTTGACAGGGTTCATTGGCCCATAACTACAAAAAAATTAATCAAACAAAAAAAGTACTACATATACGATTTCTATATATACACTTTGGCCCATAAAAATGAAAAAAAAAAAAAAAAAAAAAAAAAAAAAAAAAAAAAAAACGAAACAAAATAAGAAAACAAAAAAACATCACTATGATTTCTATATACAATAAAATTTGGTTGAACACAAAATTACTATCAATAAGTCAATAAGTTATCCATTCCAATTTGGTCATATACAAAAATACATTGAAACAGACATAGCATTTACTTGCAAATTGTCTTCCGTATATAATAGCAACTGTATTCCTAAAACTTATTTCGCGCTTTTCGCGGTGGACGCGAATGTTTATATTTGCGTAACAAATCCGCAAACATTTTGTAGCTTCAACAACTTGGAGTTCCATTATGTAACTATAAATTACTTTCGTGTATTCTAAAATATTACGTTTAAACCATGACTAAGAAAACTAAAATGATGACGTGCAATAAAGATGCTCATTACTTTGGAGATCGCCTTATATCTAGGTTTTGGATTCAAAAGACATATAACTTTGAAAGAATTTTAATGCTAGAACTTATAAACTTACAGATGATTGGCGAAATATAATACAAAACTAACAATCACAAATTCTTTTCACATGTTGAACATATGTCTGCATAGAGATTTTAGTAATTACAGTTGTTATTTTAAAGCAAATGGAAATAAAATAAATAAAGCAAATAATAAAACCGTCCTAAGGTTCGATACTGAAACTTTTGAACGAGTTGAATAAAATTATATTGTATGATACTATTTTATTCAACGAGTTTAATTAATCTAGTAGAATCTAATAAACCTATCATGAATACAATACTTTTTATTACATACCTAAAAATAATTATTTTCAGTATAAATTAACAGTTTTTCATTTGACGTGTCTCTAGAGTATTGCTTCAATGAGAAACAAATGATCTATAGTCAAAATGTGTATGCAAGGCCAGGTCATACCATTTTAATGACTAGCAAAAGCTTATAAATATACTATAGAGCAGCGATTGCGATTGCGTTACTGTTGCTATTGTGGTAAAATTCTAGTAAGAGCAATTATAACTTAATCATTTGCTTGTAAGATGTGCTAAGTGTTCGTCTTACATGACAGATTTGTATATTTACATTCATATTTGTTGTTTAATGTGTTTGCATGATGATCGTTGTCAAATATGTCCTTTACTTGTATTATAATTGAAGGTTTTGGACATTTAAAAAACGCTAGTAGTTCGAATCCGCCATGGATTTTGGATTATTCATGAAAGGAAGCTATCAAACTAACTTAAGGAATGTCAGTGTTTCTACTCATGTGCACGTTTGTGCCATAAATAATAGACGGAGGAGAACCTGGGAACTTTTTAATATCGAAAAACGCCCTTTTACCAGCACTGTGTCGGTTGGACGTAAAATCTAACTAAAATAATAAAATGCAAGTAATATACAAACAATTGAACATACCTTTTCCATTTATATCCAGCGAGGTACGTTTCAAGCGTGTCTTTAAGGACGTCATAACTTATTTTCCTTGCTGGACTTAGACCATTTCTGTCGATGGTGCTGCCGAGCTCTTTTAAGAAACTCGACACTTTGTCCTGTTGAAAATAAGTACAGCTGTACACTGTGTAATAATTTATTGATAAGAAATAAGTTATGTTCGGCTGACTTTTGTCGTTTGTATTTACCACTACTATTCAAGAATACATATATCAATGAAGCAGAGTCTCAGCAACATTTAGCAATTTTGCAATTATATATTGCCGCTTGTGACATTGTGTAGGGATCATGTTGAGTTATTTTTACTCTATTGAGAAGGTATTGAGTGACCATACATATAAAAGACAATGAATGTATATCTTAACAAGTCATTCATATATGCTCAGTTAGTACTTATTCAAAAATATTCGTGTGTTATTATCGATCTCCTAAAGAAATGGAAATTCAACAACCTTCCTAGTATCTAATATATCAAGGGTGAACTGTTCCACTCGGTCATCGAAATCGTGCACGTCAATACTAGAGGCGAGTTCCGGTACATCTTCTAGGCGCCATCGCCAATACCTTTCAGCAAATACCTTAAAATCGTCATCTGGGGTACCTTGAATACTGACTGAAATAAAATTGAATGAAGAACCCAAAACCTTGAACCATTTGAAATGTGTTATTATCATAAGTGTTGTAAGTTTGTAAATCTTAATCAACAGTAAATACTTTTGTTTCGCATCGTGTAAAGTACTAACCGCTTCTACTTTACTGTTGGCAAAAGTCAATTGCTACCTCATCCAAACTCCTTTTGATCAACGGGAGTCCTGGCTATAGGGATTGTCAGGGTCCTGGTAAAGGCACCATAGCGTGGGAACACCAAGAGACTGAAAAAAATCCGCTACATGCCCCCAATACCATTATCTACATGTTTGAGACAACACACAGACCAAGGTGAACCAACCGCCTCCGTGATCGAGGGGTTAGAGTCGTTTACTTCTAATCCAGTTACCTCTCTGGCGTTGGTTCGATCCCCGGGAGATGCTTTGGTAGTTAAGCGCGGAGGAAGGTAGTTTAGTACTGGTGTAACTCTCCAGGAACGATGGTTAGGAAACTACCCGCCTATATGACTGAAATACTGTTGGAAAAAGGCGTAAAATGAAACAAACAAACAAAGTAAACCGGTAGGCGGGGGACATAATGTCAGGTACAAATTTCGCATATTCATCTAGCTTACTGGCTTCGGTGGGACCGAAGTTTCAATTAACTGGTGCATTTATATTTAAGAAAATAATATATTCTGATGGAATGTGTCATTAATGACTCTTATTGAAGGTTACATTAAAACTGTAACACATAAAGCATTTGGTAAGAAGATTTACATCTAAAACATTCCTTGATACAATAGTCGATTTAGTTAATAAGTAAATATGTAGTATTTAAAAAGCCATTACGAATAGACTGAGAAATATTCATCGTTATTCAGAATTTAGAACTTATTTCTTACAACCTAAAAACTTCACCCTCTTGCCAAATTTTGAAAAAATAGGAATGAAGAAACACACATTTAAAAAGGAACCAAATTTAATAATCTACCTTTTTCGATATATATCATCACGTTCTTTAGAATCATAATAAAGATACAATGTCTAAACATTTATTATATTACAATAATTATGTAGTACAATTACAGATATAATAGACTAACAATATACTACAAAAAAAAATTTACTCACCTGCGCTTAGAATAACTAGAAGCACAGTGTAATCCATTTAACAACAGTGGCAGCTCCTGTTAATGTAACGAAGTAATAAATCATTCTAAAGAAATTCAGTGTAAACTACCTGTATCTCAGCTGGTGGCTCAACATACTGTTTGACACGATTATTCTGAACAAAAACGTGTGTTAGCGGAATGGCTTAGAAAAACCAAACGTTGGCTGTTCAATATCTTTATTGCATAAAACATGTAATACATTTATTGCAAACAATACATGAAAACAATACATGAAAAAACAATGAAAATGCATAGATTTTACTTATGCTTATACAACAGTAATTGACAAAGGTATTTTGAAGAGTCTTAAACATTGAAGAATGGTTATTAGTTTCTCAGTAGATTAGCATGATATATAAATTTACATAGATTTTGAACAGTTTTCCGATTAGTTTCAGTTTAAAAGTTTTTGTTTTTAATTTTGTAAGATATGCCAATTAAGCCAGGTATAATAATAACGTTTTAAACATCTTCTACGAAGTTCTCTAAATTTTGGACGATTAAGCAAAACATGATATTCATTTTCGATTGTATTAGAATTACAGTTTGAACAAATTCTCTCCGTCACACAATTCCTAGTAAATAAATCAACAGGCGCGCTATCCCATTCTATCTACGACAAGTACTACGTTATCGCGCTTCGAACTAAATCGTATTTTGCGACGCAAATGAATATGTATAGCGTTATAGTCTGAAAATTCGGACGGTTTCATAATATCAAAGTGGGATATTATATCAAAGTTTATCCCATAAGTTAATAAATAATTAACTGTTGAAGATCCATTATTACCGATAAAAGTAAAGTCGCTATGAAATTGCCCGTTACATGTTAATAAATTTGTTGTTTTACACATTTGTATCAATCGCTTACTATATTTATCTAATACTGATTTTGTTTTTTGTTTTCTCTTATTGAAATATTATAATCATTATCTATAAGATCAGTATTATCATCTATAAATCTATCATTTACTATAAAATCAGATTATTTAGATGTTCTAGAGTTTAAGTCGCCAATTACAAAGACTTTACATTAAATGCAATATTTTTCAATGCCTATTTCAATCAGCTGAAATAAATCTATATCATTTCGATTATTAATAACTTTTGAATCAAAAGGAGGAATATGTGCAGCAAATGAATACATGCTAATCAGTATCAGAGTTAAATTTAGATTTACACAGTTTTTAACCACACTGTTGTTCTTCTATAAAGTTTACCTTATCACACCTTTACGTGTGGTCACAGATTTGGTTCCGTATAAATTATGTGCATTATAGCCTTGAATATTCAGGTTTTAATGAGTTTCTTTTGCGATATTCAAGTTACGGAAAAAATGTTTATCAACAAAAAATCGAAAGTTCGACATGACCTTTTATTTCCTATTTTGATTTAGTCCTGTGTTGGGTTTGTACATGTATCGAACATTTTAGTTCGAAAAAGAACGGCACAAATACATCAGAGAATAATCACGCTTCGTTGGGTTTTAAACTCGCTTTAAACTCTTAGATAACGGATGAACATTATTATATTTTAAAAAGAACATAGATATGGCATGCTCGCCTTTAACATTTAGTGCTAAACCCGAAAGTAAAGTAAAATTTGTAACACGTATATCACAGTGTGTATATCATAATTATTTTATAATGGATATATGGCTAACTTATACGTTTTGCAATTTCATTTCCATATAAGATAATTGATGAATAATTAAAGATATGTATAAAACGTTAAGATTTGAAGTGCCTGCACAATCTTTAAATTCAAATATTCATGAGCCAATAAAGTACGGCTTATCAGAAAACTATCAACATTGCTTCTCTATCATAAAAAGATAAGTTTGTTTCATTTCACGTAGTCAAGTACTTCAAGTTTACATTTAAACTGCACATACAGGTAAATATGATTAAGTTTCGAGTTGAATTTATTATATCTAAGCATGGGATAACATTGTTACTCTTGTTGAATGTAAATCAGGCTTACGGAAGTACAAAGCACCTATATTCACATGACTTATGCTCACATTTAAAGACGCATAAAGCCTCCAAAAGCAACTGACGGTGTATTTATTTCTGAAAAACTTTTCATTTTTGTGTCCTTTTGCAATTTCCTTAAAATCACTGTTTGACCATAAAGGTTTTACTTCTTTTGCTTTTGGCAGTTGAAGCAGTTTTAGTAATTTAGTATGTAATAAGTCAAAATATTACTCTGTTTACAATAAGCAACCTTTATGTCATGTTTACGAAAGACCGGTGGGGTCATGATTTCGTATGTTGAAAACGTGAATTCACGAAGTTAAAATTGTGAATTCACAAAGATGAAATCGAGAATTTGTGAAGTTGAAATGTCCTTACCGTTCTTTCGTACATGATATTTGACATTCAGCGCTACTGACTTACACCGATTAGCATGTAAATATGCTTTAAATACGTTATCAAACATTACAAAACATTTTTTTACCACTTAAGAACAACAAAAATTGAATAATAATTTCAGTCTTTAAAACATTTTGACATTTTATGAGTAGAAAATATTTCAAGTTTCATTATGTAAAAAAAAAGAACAGGTTTGTTCTTTTTCATTTTGATTAAAATAAAAAAAAACCAAAATACCCACAAAACAAACAAAGAATCCCCCCCCACAAAAAAGGGACATACAGACGAATTTTTAATTGTCTGTTTGCTAAAACAAACTGCCATCCAAGATAACTGTCAAACATTCCTGAGGACAACTGGTCTTTTGGTTATTATACAAATTTCCTCGAGATTTTTTATCGAAAATTACATTCTTATATGGCTATTTTTTTCTTATTATCAGAATCTCTTTGGTGTCACTAGAATCATTAAAAGGTCAAGTTCCTAATTTAACCTTAGTTTCCTGTACCAAAATTAACATATTACATGATCGTTTCATCTTTTTTTTACTTTTTTTACCCTCTGTGTATAATCAAAACATATTTATTTCAAATCTAAAAATAGAAAGTCTAGATAGCAATTAATATAGGTATTCTTAAATATATTTAAGTTAAAGCATAATATATCTTTACAAAAAAATATAAATTATGTTGTTTCTTTACTGCAACAAATATATTCTTACCTATTAAAAAATTACGAGATATCCTAAAAAATTGTCAAAGCCACTATCAAATAGGCAGTATGACTTTTACCTAATCCAAAACGCTTTAAATACCTTTGATTCCAAGGGAAGTGAACAGTTTTTAACAGTTACAGATAACAATTTCTAAAGGGTACATTGACACACTTGTAAATCACCATTGGTTTAAATACGGTGTACAGGTGAAGCCAATGTTTTAAAACATTGTATCGCAAGCTGTCCTATATAAAATGGAAGGTCATGCAAACTTAATGCACGAATTTGATGAACTAAAATTTAAGGTCAATTTAACCCAAAAGTGTTAATCTTTTTATTTTCTAAAGCCGTTATAATATTACAGATTCCATGAAATACCACATTGACCATACAGTTGTGTCATCTTTTACTTCTTTTGCGTTTTGGGAATTAATACAGATTAATAATATATGTCATAATGTTGCTGTTCAGATCGGAATATCCGTCCCGAGGGAACCATGGGCGGGTTCCCGAGGGACGGATATTCCGATCCGAACCGCAAACATACATGTATGTTATATATTTTTTCTCGCATATTCTGCCATATTATTTCATATTTAAAATGGTTAACCTCAATTAGATATTTGTTCATGGAAATACATGTCATTTCATCCATAACTATTTTCTTACACTAGCGTATGAATTTACAACTTTAATAACAACGGTGAAATGATGTCCTCCTCTTCTAAAATGACGTCATTTAAACTCGGTTCATTCATAAAATGCGCTAAAATGACGTTGTATATTGCGCGGATGCGCAGACTGGTCTGGATCCATGCCGGTCGCAAACCCATTATGTTGGTTTTGTCGTGACGCGGCTCATATATGGTCTAATATCAAAGATCGCATGTCTATTTGCATTTCCGAGGAATCATTTCACTGTGAAAAAAAAATACTTACAGCAATTTTTAAAAGCTAGCATATTTAGCCTAAAACCGCTATAGCCATTTAGCCTAAAACAGCTTTAGCAATTTTAAGTGGCCAAAATATATAAACGTAAGCCTTCAATTTCTAGAATGAAATACAATTAATTAATTCATTTATCTATCAATTTAATAAATAAATAAATATTTATATATAAGAAAGTAAGAACAAAATTTAATATTGAAAAAAAATATAGAGGAATGAAGTAAAAAGAAATAAAGGAATGAATAAAAAAAAGTGAATAATTATAATACTCGAAAATTAAAACGATCGTTTTTGTCATGTCTGACCAATCAAGATGTCTGAACCATACGATATAGCATATTTTCAATTTGAAGTGATTTTTAAACGCAATTATGTGTGTCGACGTTTGTATTGTATTTTCTGCTTATTGTATGCCATGTTTTTCTAAAGCCTGTCCAATTAAATTTGAACCCTTTAAATTTTGCTTCTTGTTATCAAATATGTCAGTAAGGACGAATAAATTGATGTTATGTAAATCTTTGGCGGCATATTTATCAGTTTCAAACAAAGAAGTATATAGTCGTTTAAAACAGATAAAATTGAATCGACATTTATTCACTGACATGCGTTGTAAAGTGACTTTACGCCCGTCCGAACTTGATTTAGTGCTTGTATAACAATAAGCATGAACTTAAATATTGCCGGTAATTATGATAACATTTTTCAATTAATTTATTCAATGATCTACATTACAAACGTTACCATATAGATAAGAGAACAGAAGATAATGCTAAAATATGCAAAGGTTACTTGTAAAACAATAACTAGATATATAGTAATCGACACAAATGAGCCGCGTCACGACAAAACCAACGTAATGCGTTTGCGACCAGCATGGATCCAGACCAGCCTGCAATTCCGTGCAGTCTGATCAGGATCCATGCAGTTTGTTATCAGTTTCTTTACTTGTTATAGGGTTTGTAAGCGAACAGCATGGATCCTGATCCGACTGCGCGGATGCGCAGGCTGGTCTGGATCCATGATGGTCGCAAACGCATTATGTTGGTTTTGTCGTGACGCGGCTCAAATAGTTAAAACGGGAAATCATAAGTCTTGAAATCCAGCGTATATAATACATAATATTTTTTATAATGGAGATTTGCGCACGTATATGTAATTTATATTTTCTTTAGATCATTATGACCAAGAAATGCTTTTACTTTTATTTATCTAAAGCTTTTTTTACATCCTGTTATATAGTTTCCATAAAGAGAGAGAGAAAAAAAGAAAGAAACTAGAAATGTGTCCATAGTGCCATGTGCCCCCTAACGCCACTGTTCTGTCAATCTTATGACTCTAGGTCAAATATTTGTTGGACAACATGTGCCACAAGTTGAAAACTAAAAATATTTTACTAAGTAAAGGGCAAGAACTTTACAAATACTGAATAAATCCACAAGCAAACCCCAAGGTGCATAAGTACACATGCTGACCAACATTCTTGTAAACTTTCAGGCCTACAATTCAACTACTTTTTGAGCTATGCATGGACAAGTTGAAAAGTGCAAATTTATACTACTGTAAGTCAAGGGCAATAACTCTAACAAAACTGAAAAAAATCCACATGCAAAGTCCCAGGTGCATAGCTTTACAGTGATGTTGATCATTATTCTTGTAATTCAGTGATGTTGATCATTATTTCTGTAAAGTTGGTTGATTCTAAAGTTGGTTGATACTAACTAAAGCACTCAAGGAACAAATAACACAACATAATGAAACGGTTTTTACTAAGTCAAGGGCAATAACTAAAAAAATACTAAATAAATCCAGACGAAAATACCCAGGTGCACAACTACACATGCTGATGAACATTCCTGTAAAGTTTCATGACTCTATGTCAAATACTTTTTAAGTTACGTGCGACACAAGTTGAAAATTGCAAATTTTTACTAAGTCAAGGGCAATAACTCTAAATATACTAAATAAATCCACACGAAAATACCCAGGTGCACAACTGCACATGCTGATCAACATTCCTGTTAAGTTTCATGACTCTAGGTCAAATACTTTTTGAGTTACGTGCGACACAAAAGAGAACGGACGGACGGACGTACAAGGGTTAATCTAAATGCCCGCAACTAAAGTGGGGGCACAAAAACTGTAGCTTTGCATTCACTTTTTGATGTAGCTTGTGTTTTTGTGTGGCTTTGAGTACATATTTCATTGGTTCTATAAATGTAGCTTCATGAACATGATTAATGTTCTTTAAATTTTTTTTATTATTTTTTTTTTAGAAAATTTAACTTTGCGTTCATATTTATGTTTTTAATGTTTTAATGTAGCTTTGTGTACATAATTCATGTTTTGAATGAACCTTTGCGTACATAATTAATCATATTTTTTCCCCTGTTTTAATGTAGCTTTGCTTTGCATCATACTCGGTACAAGTATCTATAAATGATGACTCAAATGTGCTTCCGTAGATTTTAGAGTGGACTTGAGATACATTTATACAATGTTTTATCACATGCTTATTAGTCATTATCAACTTACGATGTTTGCACGTTTAGAGTTTACAGAAATGATTTGTGTTTTGTTATTATCTTAAAAGTGACTGAGGCAAACTGATCGACGCTCTTTTGTATTTCTTTTTTAAAAAAATCACATTATTGATTATGTCTGTTTATACATGCTTATAAAATTCCAAGGGTTTAACTGATTTATTTTTTGTCCTACTTGTTTGTACTATGATAACGCCTAAATCTGAAAATAATTCCGACAGTTTTTTCGCATTTAACTGTCCTCAATAGTTTTGGTGACTCCTAAATGTGAATAATAGGTATAACAACAAGAACTGTCGGAGGACAGTATTGGCTCGACTATTAAAAAAATTTTCACATGGGTGTTTTATTAAGTATAATAATGCTAATTACCTATACGTACATAAAATTGACCGAAAATATACAAAGGCTTGTTATTAAGATGTTTTATCAAGTAAATAACTGTTTTATTATTATGAATGCATAAAAATGTCGCAAAAAAGGCACAAACTCTTCAGTTGTTATGGAGATAACAGCTTACAATCAAAACTTTACCATGAATTTCTAAGTTGAAAAGGGGGAGAAAAATCAGCCTTAATGCAAGATAGAATTATGGATCTTGGTCAGTGACCTACAATTATGATTCTAAATGCATATGTGAAGTTTTAGATAAATATCTTTAATAGTTATTGAGATATGTAAAACTTGCATGTAAACATTAACCAAGAGACTAAGAAGAAACGGGGAGATGAATCAGCCTAAATGCAAGTAGAGTTATGGAACTTGGTCAGTAAAATACAATTATGACTCTCCAATTATTACTCTAAGTACATGTGTAAAGTTTCAAGTAAATATCTTTGAAGACCTTTAACCTTTAACCAAATTTTCTAAGTTTCAAAGGGGCAAATAATTCTGCAACTATTGCAGGCAGAGTTATGCAATTTTGCAAACTGATGTACATTGTTACTATAAAAAAGTATTGTAAATTTCAATTGAATATCTCAAGCAATAATTGAGATATATGACTTTACAAAAAAAACTTTAACCAAAATTTCTAAGTTATAAAGGGGCATAATTCTGTAAATATTATAGGCAGAGTTATCCAACTTGTCAATCTGATGTACATTGTTACTATAAATAAGTATTGTAAGTTTCAATTGAATATCTCAAGCAATAATTGAGATATTTGACTTTACAAAAAAACTTTAACCAAAATTTCTAAGTTAAAAAGGGGCATAATTCTATAAATATTGTAGGCAGAGTTATCCAACTTGTCAATCTGATGTACATTGTTACTATAAATAAGTATTGTAAGTTTCAATTGAATATCTAAAGCAATAATTGAGATATTTGACTTTACAAAAAACTTTAACCAAAATTTCTAAGTTATAAAGGGGCATAGTTCTGTCAATATTGTAGGCAGAGTTATCCAACTTGCCGATCTGATGTTCATTGTAACTATAAATAAGTATTGTAAGTTTCAATTGAATATCTCAAGCAATAATTGAGATATTTGAATTAACAAAAAAATTTAACCAACGCAGACGCCGACGCGGACTCTGACGCCGGGACGACTACAATAGCTCTCGTATACTTCGAATAGTCGAGCTAAAAATGAATTGCATTCCGACTGTCACAAAGATGTTAATCATCAAACTGGAAGTAAATCAGACCAGAAATTTCAAAGAGGA